AAAATCCCCAGGACTTACTGAAAAGCATTTGCTTCATTCATAGAAGAAGAAAAGAATGCTGAGGTGAGTTTCCTTCTAATTCTATATCTACAAACAAACGTGCAGTGCTGGGAGTGGCTAGGCAAGTTCGTTAGGTGCTGATGGAAGATTTGTTTCACCTGCTCTGAGAACCGATGGGAGCAGCCTGTGAGTTTTTCCAGCTTCCTCTCTCCTTTCACAATGCAGGAGGTGTGGCCAGGGTACCCCCATGCATTTTGGCGTGGGGAAGATGAGGGCTGACCCAGTGTGAGGAGAAACTTCTGTGTTGTTTGGTGCATCTCAGAGGTGCTAAGATTTATAACTGTGAGCTGTTGTTTTGGAGTCTGGAGTCTTTGCAATCACATGGACTTCATTGGAAGCATCCTCCCCATAGCAGGCACCGGAGTGACACCAGGCTTGGGACAGAGCAAGCCTTTGTCTTCCTGTGACTGGATAGTGTTGGAACCTTTTACCTGAAACAAAAGGTACTGTATTCCGTTATATGTTATGCTAGCAGGGAGTAGAGAGAGCTTGGAAGACTTTATTTATTCCAGGTGATGTTTGGTGGGGCGTTGGGGATACTGTAACTCTTAAAATGATATGCACTAGATAAACATTGAGAAGAAAAATCAATTTAATGTAACCTTTTCTCTAGGGGTGTCAATATTTCTGCAGTCCTAATGTATTGATGTGTTTACTTAGCACGTATGTGAACCAGCTTTCCTAGACACCAATTATGGCTGTTTAAAAGAAGTGTGCAGACCCCTGGTATCTCTAGTCCATAAGCTGGAATTAAAGATATAGAATCAGAGTGTTCATAAGCTTTCTTATTCTTCTGTAATGTGATAGAGACACGAACTTGTTTCATGAGACCTCAAGCTATGTGTGTATGGATAATTAATGAAATGGTGATATATAACTTTCAAAGCAGGGAATCCCAGAACAAATCTCAGAAGTCTTAAAAGGAAAAAAAACATGTGACGAAATACACAGGCAAACTGTAACAACTCTGAAATTCTTCATGAGTATCAGTCTTATAGATAAAGAGTAAGAGAAATGATTAATTGTTTGAAGAGGAATGATGGGAAATTAGAAACAAGTACTCCTTAGAGATATCAAACCATTTTCTATTGGATTTTTTTTTCCTTTTTTTTTTTTTTCCCTTTAAAAAGAAAACAGGAGATTGGGAAAAGAAGAATGATTAGACTTCAAGTGGAATTAATTCCTAGGCTTAAGGAAAATCAGGGTTTAAAACCAAAGAATAAAAGCACTATAACAAAAGGAGTTTATACTCACATTACCAGAAAATCACAGAGACTTGCTGCCTTGTGGGTGGGTGTAAGCTGCAGCACTAGGGCTGCTAAGGGGAAAAGATACAGCACAGGGTAGTTCTCCTCAAGTTGACTTTCATGTCTAAAAGACAAATGTACATTCTGTCTGAATGAGCTTGAGGCCCTAGTGATTTAGGAGGGTACTGTCAGCTGTGTGTTTTCTAAACTGGAAGAAAACGACAAAGACAAATATTGCAGTGCTGAAGCACATACTGTATTTTTAGACACTCCTCTTAAATGATTTGGCATATTGTTGCCTACACAGGTAGTGAAGTGTGTTTGTAGAAATAAACTTGAATATTTCTTTTTAGCCTGTAGGAAAAACTGGTTTAATGCAATGTTCTTTATGATAAAACTGGTTTAATGCAATGTTCTTTATGATGAGAAACTCAAATTCCAGACTGTGAGTAGAACATGACGTCTGACATTTAGTGGCTTTGGGTCAGCCCATAGCATTTGTTTCCCTTTCTGTGTTGCTGTTTTTGTATCTGATATGAAAGTGAAATAAGCCAAATGAGAGGGGAGTGAAGAATGGGAAATAAGGGAGAGAAAAGCAAGTATGTGAGAGGTATATTTCTGGATGGGCATTTTCTCTAATTATTTTTGCGAAGTATGTTCTTTTGTATGTTCCTTAGATGGAGCAGGAATAGTATTTCTCCATTTTACACTCTCTGTGCTTGGACGCCTATTAGAGGAATTTAATTAGCAGTTGACTTAAAAACATGCATTTGGTTACGAACTACATTCATAAGAGTTCTTCTGCTACTAGAATGTATGTAGTTATTGCTACTGGAGTTGGTAATGGCAAAAGCGTGCCGTTGTGTGTCTTTATTCAGATGCTTTGAGGGCTTAGGAACCCAAGTAAAATCCTTGTCACTGTGGATTAAGCCATTGCTTTTATTATTGGGGCCGCTGTGGTGTTGTTGAACTATTACAAAGACACACTGACTTGATGTCGTGTCTTTCTTTTTCCTTTTTCTTCCACTTCATTGAAACCAGGACTGAATTACCAGTCAAAATATTTGTTGCAAGTAAGTATCTCTCCTCAGGGATAGAAGCACTGAAATGCTTCTTCTCCCTTTGCACACCAGTAGCAATGATTATGTTCTAGATTGAAGGTGGAAAGTGGTTATTTCAGAAGATTTAGCATTGACTGTCTTGTTTTGAGAGCACATCTCACCACCAGCAAGAACAGACGAGCTAGTCATGAGCTAGTTTTTAGCATAGCAATGAATAGGTGCCAGATGCTTGGTCTGTATGTAACCATGAATTGGTTTCATACTGAATACTTTTTGTGAGCTTCTACCATGCTTAGGCTATTCTATTAATATTAAACCGTTATATTATTGTAGGAGATGTGGGCTTTATTCTTTCAGTGCATATTTAATGGAATGACTTTGTATAAACTATTAGTGCTCTTTTCCTCTAAATGCATTTTGAGCACAAGGCTTTCATCTGCACATGGTGTGTGTGCATCTCAGCCCACAAAGCAGTGGGCAGTAAGGGACTCTGACAGCTCTCACGGAGAGGTCGAGCATAGAGATTGCCCTCTAAGCCTTTGAAAGTCTTTTTAGTAAGAGGGTGCCTCTACTATTCCACAGTTTCTTACAACTGCTTGTTTATATTTAGTAGGTACATAATCACATTGCTGGCTGTTTGCTTCAGTTTCTTAGTAAGACAACACCATGTTACCCTGCATATCCCAGTGAGCCCACAACTCAGAAGACCACGCATGTGTATTAGCAGGTTTTGATATTTTAATAAGTTCTAATCTTCATTGGACTTAAAACAAAACAAAAAATTATGTGCACCTTGCGGTTATATAGCACAGGCTTACAGTGATCTATGCATGTATGTGAAAATTCATGGTGTCTGGTGTTCAAAGAGTCATTCATTTTCTTATAAGACTTAGAAACAATGAACAGACCTTATTTTCACACAGCCTTATGATGTAGGAGCAGGGAAGGGCCCAGAGAAGATCTAAGCATTCCTGACCCCAACTAGCATCATTCACTGCTGATGATTGTTCAACTTCTTACTATGACCAGAGATGATGCTCTCAGTGCTTCGCTGCTCTTTTAGACTGTAGTTTGCTTTTAGAATTTTTTCTTATAGCTTTATCTTTCTGGCACAAGACTAAACTGCTGTAGGCATGAAGTATGAAGGATCATTTTGTTCTGTTTGCAGTTACTTTTTCTGTATTTGAAAGTTTAATACCTCAGTCATCTCATCCAATGCTGAAACACTGATGACTCTTTTTTAGATGATGTGCTGTAAGCCTTTCACTTTGAGATTAGCAGAGCATGAGTTCCTTTTGGACTATGAGCTATGTTTTCTACAGAGGACATGATCAAGCAGTAGCAATGACAGTGTCACTATGGTTACTGCTGGGCATGTCATGGGCTGATATGATCAGTGGCAGTTGCTACGCTATGGAGAGTAATTCATCAACTGGACCTTTGATTTGCAGTGGAGATTCAAGAATGAGATGCTGGGTAGGTTAAAACCCTCTAGGGACAGTTAACATGCAAGACCAGATAAAACAGTGTTGGAATGAGGTACAAGACACTAATTCTAGATGAAATTAAAAGTAGTCTATTAGAAAAAGGAACTGAAGTAATGGAGTATATATTATTGTTAATTTGGACACGAGCAATTATCTGTTCTTAATTTTTCTATAGTAATGCAAGCAAACAATTTTTCTGATGCAGGATTTGAGTTACCCAATAAATACTATGTGGGAGATGGTCACTCAGTGTTATTGGAGGGAGTAGCAATTCTTGGCTAGTTCTAGAACATCACTTTTGACCACTGGAAATATCACTCAAGAATTTGCCTGACTTGTAATGAAGATAACAGGAGAGCAGCTTAGAACGTTGAGCCCAGGGTAGCATTCAGGCACTAGAATGGCAAGGATAAGCTGCTGAAGAACAGTGTAAATGATATCGGAACATAGCAGATATTTTAAGGCAAAATATGTTACATTTGAAACAATGGAGGCTGAATTTTATCAGTCAACAAGAGCATCTGTCAATATGGTGAAAGTGCTGTTCAGTAAGAAGAAATTAAAGGTATGTCACTCTCTAAAAGCAAGGATTTGCAAACCCTCTTGAGAACCACATGCACCAACACATTTAAATGACATTTACTTCTCTCTAGTAGTTAAGTGACTGCAATGCTGTTTTGAAATACCAACCAGATTTTTTCCTTTGTGCATTTAATTTTTTTTTTTCTGTAACTCTTTAACACAAGGTACCTAAATTTCATGGTCACAGAATTTATTGTTCTAATCTGTACATTGGAAAATAAGTCAAGCCAGTAGCCTAGAACTTTGGGATTCTGTAGGCCTTGTCTTGTAGCAAACGCGTGGATTTGTGTGTGATGGGGCTGGAGTCTTCCTCATCCAGAATGATCTGGTCTTCTCTGGTTGCTCTCACTGTTCAGTAGTGTTGGAAGTCAGCCTTCAGGAAAGGTGCATGGTTGTACTTCTTGGGACAATTGGAAAACTTCCTTAGAGTTTAATTTATTTGCATTCCTGAGTGCTGTGATCGATTGTTCCAGAGCAGTGAAGAATGATGTGATGTTAAGACATGCTGACTAAATAAATCAACTTTTCAGGAACTCAATGAAAAACAAACACATAAAGTAAAAAAAGCCAAACTGGCATAGTTTCATGCTAAAAGCCCTTTTTGCAACTGGTAAATCTGTAGTATAATTTATCATAGAGTTATCTAGGCTGGAAAAGATCTTCAAGATCATCAAGTCCAGCCATCAGTGTTGTTACATTTCTTTGGGATTGCAGATGGGCAGATTCTCATCTGTCTGTAAATCTAATCCTCATACAACATACTCCATTCTCTCAGAGTTCCTCATTACCAGTCTAGAACTGAAGTTTAGCCTTGCTACAGGTGGAAGATACTCTTCACCTTGATCTAGAATATTCTAATTCCTTGTTCCTTCAAGTTTGCTGCTTCGCAGTTCATTGGTTTTTGCCTCATTAGGATTATTTGTGTTAATTTTAAAGGCCATAGCAGATCTGTATTTATGCCTTGAGGGGCAGCGTGCTTCAGCTAAGGTACTTCCGTAGGAAGCTTATTTGGTGCTGCTGGATGGCTGTGTGCTCTCTTCGTAAGGAGGCACTGGGTCTGGAGAGAGCTCAATGTGAGCCTCACCCAGGGCAGTCTTTGTTGTGGCCTCCTCGTAGGATGGAGGCAAGCACATGGAGAGAAACGTGGCATCCGGGAGGAGAGTGGAGTAATGAAAACTCTGCTCGCTGTTCCAAGGCAGCACAGAAAAGAAATTGGACATGTCGTGCTCAGGCAGGGCCTCAGGGAGGTCAATGCTGAAGATCTGCCCTTGTGGGATGGGGCGCTGGCAGCGGCGGTACAGGAAGAGCAGCAGGAATGCCAGGAAGAGCATCATGGTGGCAGGCAAAATGATGCACAGAAATGGCTCTATGTCGTCTTTGGTTGAACTTATCTGTTGTCTACTCTGTAATAAAAGCAAATAGGTAGTGTGTTGGATGCATGGAGACCTCTTAATCACAGAGGGAAAAAAACCCACGTTCTCCCAAGAACGACCTAGCAGTTTCATCCCCGAATTATTTTCTGTCTGCATTGGTGCCACTAACACAGCGTGTTTTGCAAGCTACTGGTTTGCCAAATCCTGCTAGCTGGTCTATGAAAACAAAACACTTTGACAACTAGAGGCAATATAAATGACAAAGTAGCTAAGAGAGCTGGGTTTCTAGAAAAATCATTTTTTGTGAGTGGGGAAAAATACTGACAGTATGGAACTGCGTGTATTTTTGTATGAGTTATTACTCTTGGGTTAGCTGGGACCTGTTTTCTTGTGAGAGGCTGGTTAAGCTTTTAACACTTGAGGCAACATTGAATTGCAGAGGAAAAGGGCCAGACATCCACTGGATAATGTCATTTCTGTTTGGAAATCTTGACTGTTAACTTTAAAGAACAAACATTATAACAGCTGCCCCTTCCATCAGGACTAACCACCAGCAATACCTGGACTATGGCTGCTTTATCCTTATGAGCCAGCCCCAGATAAAACTTGATTTGTTGGGACAGCCAGAACAGGGGCTCTTCCTTGAGCCTGTTCTGCCAGCTATCCCAGAACCATTTCCCTGTTTAGAAGTATGGACAAAAGCCCTCTGCACCAAGCTTTTGAGTTGTGTTGTAGAATGGCAGAAGTTTTAAGCTATGAGGTTGTTTTTTTTTTTTTTTTTTTGCAGTGACAAATGTTTTGGTTTTTTTTTATGTTGTATTTGCTTCACTTTTAAAATTGAATAGATCTTATTTCCAGTCTAAGTCTATCTAGCTCTAGCTTCTGATAACTGGATCTCATTCAGATTTAGTCTAGAGTTTATGAAAAGCATCTCTGCTCATTCTTCAAGAGCTGTGGTTGTTCTGGTAGCTACATAACCATGCTGTAACCTATATTCAACCATTTGTCTGCCATGCCTTTGTTACTTCTCCATTTCATAGTCATATTATTAAATTATTTGTATGTGGTAATGCTTAGGAAAAAGAACGTAAATCGTAAATTGGTTTTTACTTGTAGCAGCAAAACAGCAGATTTCTGCCTTTTGTTTTTCCCTCTGAGTTGTTGTGGGTCTGAGGCTAAGCCCTTTGAAGACATTTTAAATTACGTAAGAACTATCATGGATGAGCTATTAAGTTTTTTGTCAGCTGTCTTTTAACTACGGAAATGCATACTAAAGAATTATCTCATATTTACTGATCATTTCTTATTAATGAGCTTCTGGCAGTACAAGCTGTTGTCTTACCTCACTGTCAAGTGAGCTATAAAAAGTTCAAAGACAACACTTAGCTATTATTCTGAAGCAGACATTAGAATACTTAATAAATATGGGAGATTTGCTTTAAAAACTTTGCTGCTGGTTGTTTTTTCTTTACTTTACTTAGTTCTTAAAACACTGCACGCAAGAAGTGAGGAAAAAATTGTTTTAGTTTGTATACTGTGATTATTGAGATTCCCTGAGTCTGTAGTGCTAGCAGTACTTTCTTAAAGGATATTTGGAAGAGCTGGGGTAGCATTTTATGGGATAGCAATTTTTGCTATCGGTGAAGAGCACGTTTTTTGGGTTTGAGGTTTAATTTGTAGGGAGCAAGCTGTCGATCAGTTTCAAATACTTTTTAAAACATTTGTGAGTTGTGTGCTGTTGTGGTTGGCACCCTTACCTTCTGTCCTAAATAAGTGTTTGACACTTGAGACTAGTAAAAGGTATGTCGAGTCTCAGTTCCAGCCAAATGCATCACCACTATGAATGTATTTTTTTTCTTTCTTGGGTTGGATATGAAGTAAAAAATTCTTCTCAGAAGGAGGAATAATGTATAGGAACAGGCTGCCCAGGAAGGTGGTGGAGGCACCATCCCCAGGGTTTTTCAATAAATGTGGCACTGAGGGATGTGGTTGGTGGGCATGGTGGGGGTAGGCTGGTGGTTGGACTAGATGGTCTTAGAGGTCTTTTCCAACCTTTATGACTGTATGAATTGCAGTGGGGAAAAAAAAAGTGTGATTTTAAATAATGGCTGAGGACTGTTGTCATTTCATTCCTGTGCTGATGGAAGCACAGCCTGGTGTTACAGTTGCCTGGTTCTGCCTGGTCTGGGACACGGCCTCATAGGGTCTGAGACGTGTACAATACATAGAGTGGCAAGCAGATAAGAATGGTCTGAGGGGCTGGATTTGAATTTACAGATGCTCAGGGCCTTAAGCATAAACCGCAGTGAGTTACTGTCCATTGTGATACAGCCTCCTGATAAACATTTTTCAGTCTGGTTTTACATGGAGATATGGTTCAAGAAACTGTCTCTGCAGCTGATTAATAGCTTGCAGATATATCTAAACATAACTAAAGTACAGGGGGAAAAAACTAAGTGGTGTTGATCCCAGTACTTCTATTGCAACTTTGTGCCTGTTTCTGAGATGAGCAGCTATGGAGCTACAGAATAATGTTGCAGAGATCTTGACACAAATTCTTGGAAAAATTTATAGCCATAATACATAAAAAAACTGTAATAATACCAAAAACTGTAATAAAACTAAATGTTTTTTTTTCTGAAGTTCTAAAGCTAAAAATGAGACAGCGAGCCAATATGTATGGTGGAAAATAACTGCTGGAACTGGAAAACAAAATGCCCTAGAAATGAAGCTGCATCTTCAGTAATTAAAAATGCTCTGCCTGTGTTACCATTGGTAGCTACTGTAGATTTTGTAATTGACAATAGTAAGATTTGGACTTCCAGCATGAAATAAGCTACAAAAACACAAGGAAAATAGCCCTCATAATGAGAGGAAGGCAGGAAAGTCTGCAGCAGTAAAAGGGATTAATTTTCTAAAAAGACCTGTTTGGTTTTTTTTTTTCCTCTCTAGAACTGATTTTTAGTTGGGTGGTCTGGGCACTGTGGATTACTTCCTGCTCCATTAATTCTTTTTTTTTACTTTCACCTTTATGGGGAGTGAAGCAAAGGGTCAGTTTTCCAAAACATGGAGAACAGCACAGAAATAGCAAAGCCTTTCATTAGTAATCTGCTTGCTTACATTTTTTTTTTTTTTTACTGTGCTGAGCATGTACAGTTGCTGGCTTACAGATTATGTGAACCATAGGAATTAAGATGAGCTCTTACTCATGCCTGTTGGTAGAGGAATGAAATGGAGAGCACAGATGAGTTGTGTGGCGTTTCCATAATGAATTAAGTGAGGTTAGACCTGAACACACGTTTAGATGAAAAGAAACCTGCTACTTACTTTAAAAGAGAAAGACCTCATAAGGCAAAACACAAGTTTAAAGGAAGCTTTCTTATAAAGATAGAAAAAGGAAAGTTTATTTGACTTCCTTAAATTCCCATTGAAGTGGCTGGTGCTAAAATTCACTGTATTGCTAATGATTTGCTTGAGTTCTTAAAATGTTATTGAAATGATTTTTTTTTTTTTTTAAATAGAGCTTGTGTTCATACCAATGTTTTTGATAGGGTGCTTGAAATTGGATCAGGAAATAGGTACTTCTGAAATGTTTTCAGTGGATTTGGAACAAAGTCTGCTTTGAAGTCAATAACTGTGGCCCATGCCCAGGTGTTTTTCTATGTTTTCCCACCCTGCTGCTTAAAGCGGATTCGTTACTGCTTGTCAAAAGCCAAACTCTGACAAACACGAAAACATTTTGATGTGTTTTCGTATGCATCAACAGTGACACACAACTTTGAGGTGAGCCTAAATTTACACTGAAGTGTTAAATACTTGTTAGAATGTGATTGTGTTGATGATGTTTGTTTCCCACAGTCGGACAAAACCAGTTTCAAGGTGCAAAGTCATTGCAACTCATACGCCAGCAGTCCTACTGATGAGGTGGACTCTTAAAATCATAGAGTTGTTTTTAAAGCTGCTTTTCCTCCAGTTTTGACATCCTCACACACCTACAATTTTCTTTTACAGCAGTACACTTGATAGCTAAGTAGCATGGCCAGTGTGCTTACTAGTGCTGCTTGGCATAGGCGTTTACTAGGGGTATATGCGCACTTGAAATTAGTTTCCCCTCAGAGAAGCCATCTCCCTACACAAAAGCACACAGAAGCACAAGCAGGCAGGCTGTGTTTTCCACTCTGACAGCTACTCCCTCCCCTCCTCCCCACTCGCCTGCCTGTTATCCTCTCTCAGAAGTAATCAGCGTGCAGCTTAGAGAACAAGAGTTCATCGTCGCCTGATACTCACTCTTAACATCTGCAGAAAGGCTTCATGGGACCAGACCCAAAGCACAGACATGTATTTAAAAGAAAGGAAATCCAGGAGTAGAGCAATGAATTCTGCTTTAAAGAAACTTATTTAGCAGCTGCTCCAGCAAGATTTTTCTTCTAATGATTTTTCCTTCACCACAGATGCATTTAAAACCACAATAGAACATACATGCTTTTGCTCTATGTAATTGAGTATTACTGCTTTGATAGCTCAGTACACCCACACTGACTCTGTGCTATACACTGAGGCGCTGTACAAATGTATACACACATGCAAAGTCAAAGGAGGTGCCACAGATGCTGGCAGGTACAGACCTGGAGCTCTGTTTCCAGAAGTGGCCCACCTGGTTCAGTGTTCAGCCAGTCGTAGTTCCCCCTGTCAGCGTGTCCAAATTTCTTCCAGCTGCTGTCCAGGAGCTGCCTCATGCTTTCGTCCACCCGCTCTTCTGCCTTTGTGCCTCCAACTTCCTTCACTGCTTGCGGCTGCGTCCCCTCCTCTTAGCCTTGACCCCGCTGGGCTGCTCTCCACTAATGATCGTGTGGAAATTGTGTCCTGAGCAAAGGGAGAAAACAAATAGAAACCTCCGTGTCAGGAAGCCAAGCAGGCGGATCTCCTCTTCTCTCTTCACTTCCAAGTCAATCTCCGTGGATTTGCTTCAGTGGCCTACATTACCAGTAAAGCTGGCATCAGGTATCAGGGACCCGTGGCTGATAGTGCTCTGATTGGAGGGCTCCCCGCATTAGGATTATTAAAAAGGGAATTTGCATGTGAAGCTGAGACCACATGGTCCTGACTCCATGCAGATAAATAACCGCCTATATTTAGGGATCTAACAAATGCTTTTCCAACAAAATAATAATAAAAAGCTCCTATACTAAGAGTGAAAGTTCCCTGTTACGGAGTGCTAGAAGAACCAAAGATCTAGGCAGGTTTTTGTTCCCTGTGGCTCATGCCTACAGTAAACAGTGAAAGTATCTGATGCATAGAGAGACAAGGACGGAAGGCTAAATGCTATGCTGAATTATTTAGCAGCATGAGAATGCAAATGTTAATGGTAAATCCAGAGAGAGAAAGCTGCCAGGGCAGCTTTGGTCACTGTGAGCATATGAACACTTCCAGTAGTGAGTTGTCAGTGTATTTGACTCAGAGCTCGCTTACTAGCTTCTAGGGTGTGAGTTATTAAATAGAGGTTGTTTTGAGTGAGAAGCCTTTGCTGTGTTCTTCAAGCAAATAAAATGTCAGGGATGTATATTAACCTCTAATGGGAGCAATATTTCATCTGAGTGGTTCAGGGTTTAACTCTTACTGAGAAAGAAGTTAGTTGAATCATAAAATTGTCTGAGTTGGAATGGACCTTCGAAGTTCCTCTGGTCCAATGCCTCTGCAATAAACAGGGGCGCCTACAGCTAGATCAGGGTGCTCAGAGGCTCTCCAGCCTGACCTTGAGTCTCTCCAGGGATGGGGCATCCACCAGCTCCTTGGGCAACCTATTCCAGTGCTTCATTACTCTTATAGCTACGGTGTCTTTTTCTTTTTCCACTGAGCAGAGGGAGGCTGTGGGTAATACCCAATTCAACTGCAGTGTATCTTGTATAGCATCTCAAGGTCAGTCTGTTTAAGCAAATTTCTGTTCAGGTCTGATAATACAAAATCTGGGGGTCAAGATTCTTAAGTTGTATTGAGGTCACTGGTCCCAGAAAACTGTAGACCTTGTTCAGAGCAGTCGGGGCAGCCCAGGTGTGAACCACTGTGTCCTCTGAGCAGCTGGGTCCTGACTCAACAGGTCACACTGAAACAGCCAAATTCCTCTGCTTGGTGTCCCAGGACTCTGTGTGGAAGCAACAATGAAACTATCCATCCTAAACCACAGTGTTAAAATAAATTCCTTCGGGAGACTTGTGGTTTAAATCTGTCATCTCACGTGCAAGCATGAAATGCTCATATACCATCTTAATTAGGGTCTTAATACAACCCCTAAGATTATGAATGCTATTTTTAAAACGTTACTGTAAATTTGCTTTGGGACTGCCATGAATAATGAGGAGAAGAGAAAGATGATGTCTGCTTATGGTATCATTGCTCTGATAAATTTTAGCCAAAATAAGGTGTGCACTTCAAAGACTAACTGACCTAACTTAGCAAGTGCTGTGAATTCTTGGCCTCTGGAACATCTTCAAGAGTGATTTAACTTTGTAGAGCTGAGGCCAAGTGTAAATTTGAGGAAACATAGTCCTTTGTCGTGCAGGTAATAGGAATACACAATAATGTTTGTCTCTCTGGCTTTACAATCAATGGACCTGTTAGAAGGTTACAGAGAGCACGCACTCTGCTGCCAGGGTGTCTGCAGCTTGTAATACACTGCATCTGTATAGATCTGCCTGTGCAAAACTCAAGTGCTGCTACTCCATGTTGAAGCTGTGGTAACACATCAGACAGGTTTCTAGCAACTCTGTGGATCGCTTGAGACCTGTTTCTCATGGAGTTCATGCCCATGGCTTGGGCATGCTTCCCTGTGGAGATGCAGGGGAGGAGCATCCTCTAGTCCAAGCCTCTCAGCCAGGTGTCAGGCTTGATGCTTTTAGATGTGGAGGAGGAAGAATTTTGGAGCTCTTCAGACTTCAGCATGCATCAAACAGTCTTTTTTTTCCTTCTTCTTTTCTCCTGCCTTTGTTCTTGGAAGTAATTCATTGACTCATTTTGATCCTGTCAACCTGGAGAAAATAGTTAAGGTGGGATGGTAACACCTGAGTGATTTAAAGTTTTTTTTTTTTTTTTTTTACAGACTTATATAAGGATGTTGATAGTTATCAGTCAGTGTTGCTAATACTACTTCTAATGTTCAAGAAGGGAGAGACTTTCTTAGGAAGCCAGTGCAGAAAATGGGCACATTCCCAATTCTCAGAATGAAGATCTGGTAATAAATAATTCCTATTTCTGATGTGCTGAGACATTAGAGACAAGGGGTGTAACTCTATGCTGTATTGCCTCTGATATTAATAGGGAGCAGAATATCCATTGTGCCCTAAATCACAAAATGGCTTGGGTTGGAGCAGATCTTAAAGCCCACCCAGTCCCAACCCCCTGCTGTGGGCAGGGCTGCCACCCACCAAATTAGGGTTCCCAGATCCCTCTCCAACCTGGCCTTGAACACTTCCAGGTGTGGGATGGCCACAATCTCCCTGGGCAGCCTGTGCCTCACCACCCTCTGAATAAATAATTTCTTCCTAGTATCTACCCCAGATCTCCTCTTTTAGTTTAAACCCATACCCTTTGTCTTGTCACTGTCAGATTGTGTAAAATACTGGTCTCCCTCCTGCTTCTAATCTCCATTCAAGTACTGGGAGATCACAGTGAAGTCACAGAATCACTCTGGTTAGAAAAGACCTTAAAGATCATAGAGTCCAACCACAACCTAACCATACTACCCTGATAACCTTCTGCTCAATCATGTCCCTGAGCACCACATCCAAATGGTTTTTAAGCACATTCAGGGATGGTGACTCAACCACCTCCCTGGGGAGTTATTCCAGTGTTTAACAACCCTTTCTGTAAAGATGTTTTTTCTGATATCCAACCTGAACTTACCCTGGTGCAACTTAAGGCTATTTCCCCTTGTCCTGTTGCCAGTGAGAAGAGACCAGCTCTGCTCTCTCTGCAATCACCTTTCAGATATTGGAAGAAAGCAATAAGGTCTCCCCTCAGCCTCCTTTTCCCCCAGACTGAACAGCCCCAGTTCCTTCAGTCTCTCTTCATAGGGCATATTCTCCAAGCCCTTCGCAAGCCTTGTTGCCCTTCTTTGGACCTGCTCCAGCACCTCAATGTCCTTTCTGTACTGAGGTGCCCAAAACTGAACACAGTACTTGAGGTGAGGCTTCACCAATGCTGAGAACAGGGGCAGGATCTCCTGGGAGTCTTCTCTGGGTTGAACAAGCCCAACTACTTCAGCCTGTCTTCCTAGGAGAGGTGCTCCAGCTCTCTGATCACCTTTATGGCCCTCCTCTGTACCTGCTCCAACAGCTCTGCATCCTTTCTATACTGGGGGCCTCAGGCCTGGGTGCAGTACACCACATGGGGTCTCATGAGGGCAGGGCAAAGGGGAGATGATTACCTCCCTCTCCCTGCTGGCCACCTCTCTTCTGTTGCAGCCCAGGTTACTGTTGGCCTTCCAGCAAGTACATGCTGCTGGCTCATGTTCAGTAGTAGATGGGCTTTGGGGTCTGTGAAGGTACTGTTACTCGCTTTTCCTTAACCCCCTTTTATGACTGGTTGAGTGGCTTTCTTGAAGCTGCAGATCCCATCTGTGTGGGACTGAGTTAGACAAGTGTTCGACTTTGTGCCCTGTCAAGGAAAGGCTTTCCTTCAGGGAGAAAGAGAAAATGATTCCAATCCACGGACTTCTGAATCCACGTGAAACTTTCTGAATTGAAGTGTGCATTATTTATTGGGGCATCAGATGAAAGGCTTTTGGCAATTTTGCGTTGTTTTCATTTAGGTGAACTGGAACAGTGCTTTGCTTGAAATAACACACATTTAGTTTCAAGTAGCGCGCAATAACACAGTAGCTCTGCAGTAACACATGTACTGTTTCAATTTGGAGTTTGCACCCTGAAAATGAATCTGCTCTGGGCCTGAAGGTTCCTACTTACAGCTTATGGGGAAAGTGCACAGTCCCCTGCAGCCTGTAAGATAAAGTTTGCTATAGAAATGAAATATGTGAAGAACATCTTATATATAGGAAAATGGCAAATCTAAAGACACAGCAAAAGCTTTATTTTTTTCAAGTGCAGTTGTTGGTTGGGCTTGTGGGCAAAGCTGCAGTCAGGCCATAAATCAGGGATGTGACCTTTGTTGCACAAAGGCGGGTGCAATAGCCTTAAATGCACAAAGCTTTACAAACAGGGCTGGTGGCATACTGACCTCAAAGTTACCTAAAGGGACAGGGGAAAAAAAAACAAAAAAAAAACCCCAAAAAACCCAAAAAAACCCAACTGAGAACGAAAAGGGAAAATTTTCCTCACCAGTCAACTGGGAGGAGAGAAGAGGGAGTCTTAGAGAGGTGTCCTTCCTGGGTGTCCCCTCAAGTGCAGGAGGCACCTCACAGCATAATGTGTATTTTGTATGATTGATGTCTGAATGTTCTGAGGGAAATAATTACAAGTTAAAAATAATTGGGAAGTCTGGGAAGGTGCTGAGAACCATTGTTCAGTGTGGATAGCCTTGTATGTAAATGGGTGGCTTTTGAGATGTATAGTGATGAAGGCTTGGGTCCAAGATAATGTGGAAGATAGATTCTACCTGGGGCAGTGGTGTGCTGAGTCAGCTGCTTAAGCAGGTATGTAGCTTGTACTGCAAAATGGAAATCTCATCCTTTGTCCAGGTCTGAATCTCTCAAGGTATCAGGGTGTGTTATGGAAGAGGAATCAGGCATCTGCTGGGGGAAAGAGGATTACTGGGCCTGCAAAGGTGAGCTCTTACAATGGGCTTGGGCTGTACAGGCACAACTGAACCTGACTGGTTAGAGGCATTGTGTATTGCTGTTACAACTCAGTTTTTTGCTTCATTTGGCTCCAAACATTACTTTTCACCTATGGAGGATGATGCCTCCGTGAAAGGGATACTTGCCCATTCAATGCAGTTCATTAATCAGGGTTCATACTCAAGCAGACGATGTGAAAAATAGACAGAAATGACACAGTGTAGCACTTGGTGTGACCCATCATCCTCTTTCTCTGTCTTACTTCAGCAGTCAGTGCTCTGTAGTCTGTGAGCACAGCAGGGAAGGAAGATAAGGAGGTGCTACCAGAGATCCCCACCTAATGGTGGTCATCCTTCTTGTCCTACGCTCAGCACAGCTCTGCCTAAAACATCCTGTGGCAGGCTGTTATGCTGCATTTCCTTTTCATTGTTCTCACTGCTTTTGTTCCCATGAAATACTAAAGGAGATTTGGGTAAGGGGGAATGGTTTTAAGCTGAGATGGGAGGTTTAGGTTAGACATTAGGAGGAAGTTTTTCACCCTGAGGGTGGTGACGCACTGGAACAGGTTGCCCAAGGAGGTTTTGGATGCCCCATCCCTGGAGGCATTCAAGGCCAGGCTTGACGTCGCTCTGGGCAGCCTGGTCTGGTGGTTGGTGACCCTGCCTACAGCAGGGGGGTTGAAACTACATGATCTTTGAGGTCCTTTCCAGCCCAGGCCGTTCTCTGATTCTATGATTTGATTGGAAGTTTGCAAGAAAAAAGCATATTAGTAAACTAGATTTTAACTTTTTTTTTCTTCTTTTCCCTGTGATTGGCTTTGCAAACTAATAATCTTTACTCTCCTGGGCTTGGGGCTGGTCACAAGAGCCTGCATTGAGATCTTCAATTATTTAGTGTCCTTTTAAAAGGGAAGGAATTATGTGAGAGGGAGATATAAGATCTGCTCTGATGAACACCCCTGCAGCTGGGACTTGGAAAGAATGTCAGGGCACACAAACTTCCTCCTTGCTTTTATGCACAATCATTGCATCTCTACATAGAAACATTTTCCCATGTTTTCTCAAGAGAAGATTAATTGCTTTTGCAGGTAAGGGTTTCAAACCAAACAGGCACCTCATCACCCTCCTCTCCTTACACAAGTTACTGTAATGCATTTACAAAACCATTTTTCACTTTCTCATTATGTTTGACATTCTCATTTCCCAAGCTTGAAGGTTTGTCTGTTTCTGACCTTCTGGGCATACTTACAGGGACAGATTTAAATACAGCATGTTTTTAGCCTGTTGGTGTCCTCGTAGTCTCTGGCACAAAGGAGGTTCTGATTTGACGTACAAAAAAAAAAAAAAAAAAAAAAAAGGCCAGAAATGTAATGTAATGGTCAAAAATGTAGTAAAGGAAGTAATTGAGAAATGCTACCTTGAATATATATTCTAAACTATTTTAAGTTTTAGTTATTTTATTTGACTGAGCTGGGAGATGAGGATGTTGACACCTCCTTAGATGCTGATGCTAACCACAGCAAACAAACAGCTTCACCATGTTTCCTCAGAGATGGTGATCCATAGGTATTGTCTCTACTTCAAGGGTGCATATCTATCAGTTTCAAAACAGCTTCCCTCAACAAACAAAATCCCCTGAACAATCAAATCCAAGCCAAAACAAAGCAGAACAAAACAAATGGATTTATTCTCACAGTTTTTTTTTTTATGAGGAGCCAGAAAATGGTGCATACAGCCTGGCTTTGATTTGTTTGGGGTTCTTTGAGTTTTGAAATCTGGATGCTGAGTGCGCTGTTCTAGGACGTCATATCAGCCATTTGGATAAAGATTTCAACTTTGTTGTTAACAGTGTTATTAAATATTAGATGTTAAGAGGTTTATCCTGGTGCTACCTTCTTTGCCAAAAGCTTAGAAATTGGAGATCACCTGTTTCACGTGGTTCAACTGACAGTACCCAAGCCTGATTCTACCTTTTGTTTCTACCTTCTTCTTGGGCATATTCAGTGAACCAAAAGAAAGATCAATCATTAGTACTTCTTGTAATGGCAGAGAAAGGAGAGCTTTACCAAAGCTACTGAGGGAATGTGCAAGCTTGTATGGTTTGGTGGCAGTTTTTCCTCCTCTGAGCCTTTAAGGTGACTGTCTCTTGCTGGCCTGTAAATGGAGTTGGAAGAGTTGACCTTCCTATACCTAAAAATTATCCTGTTAAAACTGAACCATTATCTATTTTTGCTAATGAACATGTTTGGTGAAAGCTCCTATGGGAATGTCTCCCCACCAGTTAATTAACTGTACCAAATGCAATCTGTTTAATTTTGCCTACATAACAGTGCACTCAGTGGTCACTGCCTTTCTTGTACCTTGCTCAGGAGTCTAGTGGATGAGTTTGGTAACTCCACTGAAGGAGAGAGAAAACTTGAGATTTAGTTGGCTTTTAAAAAAATAATAATTACATATTCAAATTATATATATTTTTTTGATGACAGCTGTTTTCTTTGGTGAGCCAACAAATGAAAGAAATACAAGTATCTTATCAACGCAACTACAAATAAACTTCACAACTTGTACCATATGTCGACCTCTCCCACCCAGTGGCAGCAGAAGCCAGGCTGATCTGACCCCACTCTGAGAAGACAGGCAGGACCTCATACATGTCAAGAGTTAAGGAAATAGTGGAATGGTATTTTCTGTATGTACCCAGCTGCTGTTTTACATTAAAGAGTGCTATTTAGGAGGAAAAGAAAATCTTTTGAATGGTATCTAAGTGAGATATGTAGAGCAGCAGAAGGTAGTTTCCTGGAATGAAATTAGATCAGACTGTTGGGATTTAACACTCTTGTTTCACCAGAAATTGCTGTAAGGCTATCAAAGCATCACAGCTTCATTTAGTTGCTTTGTAATCTGCTCTAATGCACCTCTTTTAACCTTCCTCCTGATGGGGTTGTTGTGTAACAAACATTGAAGGCCAAAGCTTGTGTTGCTTCAGTGCTTAAGTTACTGCTGAGAGTAATATTATGATGGGGATAGTCAAAGGAAATATCTGTTTAGGGGGACAGAGGTGAGATGTTTGCATGAGCGGATGCCCCTTACTGGCTTTTTAATGTAGTTAGCAGGTTGGAGTAACAACAGGAATCTGGCCATGGAGGTTCAAGCTCTGATTCCACAAGGCTTTGCCTGGAGATGGCAGTAAGACTTAGTGGGACAGCTGGCAGCTGAATTTTCACTCTTGAGACCCTATGGAAAGCCCCAGGTGTATCATAAATGTTACATGGACTGTTGTCTTGTCACTGAAGGACCATAACCCTTCTCTTTTAGAGTCCTGGTTGACAATTGCTTTCTCTGTAACTGCATTTTGTTTGCATTTGAAAGTCTGCATGGTGATTGGGCAGGACATGCTTTCACGTAATGATTCCTTCAAACTAAACAGGAGAAACTACTGATCCAACTTGGGTCAGAATGAGAGATTTGGGTGCCAGAGGGTGGCCTAGCATAGCTGTGACAAGGAGGGAAGCATTGCATAGTTCTTGCTGTTGGGCTGCACTTCTAGCATGGGAACACTTTGAGTGCCAGCTATACTCTGCGTTAGAGGGAAATATGGCTGGGGAGTATCTGGCTTGCAAGCCCAACACCATTTGTCTGAGAAGTGATGCTCTGTGGATCTCTGCTTGTCCCTGGTGTATCTACAGCAGCTCTGACACTGGGAGCATGGAACAGGGGAGAAGCACTGTCTGGACTTCAGTGGTAGTAAAGTGGTGTATGTCTGTGTGTAAGTGGGACGTTAAGAGTTCAGCCCCAAAGGTTACAACTATGAAGGAAAGTAATGTCCTTTCTGCTATAGTGTTTTGCTTTGTTTCCTTTTTCTCCAAAAATACCATCTCCAATGGAATCGCAGCCAGAAGTATTTTTGCTAGTTATTAATTAATGAGGGGTGAAATCACTTGTTTTGTGAAATTTCACACATTCTACTTGAACTTTTTAGATATCTCGGTCTTAATCCTTCTTTTTCCTCACCCCCTGCTCTTTCCCAGCCCAAACTCTGGTGTGGAGTGGCGTAGGGTCATTTGTTACACTGTGTAGATCTCAGCTCTCCTTGAAAAATAAAACCCAAGATCAGTTCCAAGCCACTGAGCTCCCCAGGGCACCTGTGAAAGCTGCAGTCCTGCAGCATTTCAGTCCTCAGTGCTGCAACGTTTTGCTTGACTACAAACTGCAAAATAACTACCTTTAGACAAAACAAACACCAGATTATTTTGCATTTGCTTCTTTATTCTACAACACAAGCAACATAAATAGTTTTTAATTTTTTTGTTTTAAAATATTTCCATTTCAGAATTCAGTCTGAACAAAATATACACAAAATACAATTTGCAAGCCAGCTTACAGTGACTTCCTGACCAATGGACACTGAAGAACCAAACAAAGCAGTACAACAGAACGCAGCAGATACAGGAAGGTGTTATTCTAAAGAATAGGAGAAAGGTAGAGGGAGGAAACATGAATCAAACTGGGGAACTGCAGCTTGGTATGAACTCCGTAGAAGGTAAATCCAGTGTAAGAACTCTAGACACTTATAGTCTCTCTTTAAAAACATTAGTGGCTCCTCCTGAATATACAGTTATAGAGATGAAATCCTGGGAATAATGCCTTGTAATAAAATGCTTTCTATGGCAGCCATCATCATGGAAATAGAATTTGCTTTTTATTTTGGAATAGGAATAATCAGATCTTTGGCAAAATGGAGTGTCTACTCCCTTTGGCTTTCTATCAGTTTTCAGCTCTGGTCAGAGGGCCCATGGAGTAAATTCGCGGTATCATAAATAATGACAAAAATGGAGGTGGGGAAGGGGAAGGTGAGGGGAACTAAATGAAGTTGCTCCCTGCTGTCACTTCATACTTTGACACCTCTTGCTCCCATCTGCTCCTTGAAATGATGTGCAGCGCAGGGCTCTGCTACCACCTGGCTTGGCCCTTCCTGGCTGCTCTCACTTTGGTATCAAATCGTGCTTTCTTCCACAGATCTGGGGGCTCAGCAGCCATGGCCTGACTGGGGAGGTGGTATTTGTCCCTGCAGCTCTCCTGCTTCCCTTTGCTTCCTGGGGAAGCATGGTATTTCACCACAGACTACGCTAAGCGAAGGTGTGGAAAGAAAATAAGGAATAAGTCCTTAATGCTCCATAGGTGGAAGTACGTAACTACTTTTTGATAAGTGGGATGTTGAGTTGCAAGAATTGAAATAGATCCTCCTGCCACTTTTTGTTAACAAAGAATGCCTTCCATAACCCCAGTTCCCTGAAATGCTGTGGCAGGGGTGAGTAAGCAAACCTTTGCTTGTGAATTTGCCAAAAATAAAGAGGATTTGAGGGATCTGGTCCCACAGGCAAGCTCATTATTGCATTAATCCAGGATCATGCAGCGTAGCTCCACTGATATCCATAGTCAGAATTAGGGCATTTCCCCTGCTCTCTGCTTCTGGTTCTTGTCTTGGACCTCTCAGCATTAAGTGAAAAGAACAGTGCATACTTATGCTAGATGCTTTGTTATTTTCTTTTTAAATAGACAGCCTGTCATGTTTGTCCAAAGCTGTTTAGTATGAAATGAAACTGTAGTTAGCATCACATATAAAGGGGCAGTAGTGGAGATAAAACAAAGAGGAGGTGAGATTTCTTCCATGCAACTGTACAACTTCCTGGAGAGCCAGGCATGTTGCTGGTGAGTGCTGCTGATAGACCTTTATGTTGTATCCCTACAGAAGCTCTGCTCAAAATGGGGAGACTCAGAGAAGAGGGGTCAATAGCTGCCAGATGTTATCTACATTGCATAAAATCCAACATTTGTGCTTCTGTGCTGTGGTAAGTTGGTCCTTTTATACTGAAGGAGAAGGTATATATATTTTTTAAATTGATGGTATTGCATCATTTCTTTAAAGAATTGTGGAGTTATCAGACATTGAGGAAAAAGAGATCTCTTTGTCTAATTTCATATGCCATGCTTACCACTATAAACAGATCTTCCCAGAAGTGATTATAATCAGAATATTGATTAAATTGCTTGCTTAAGCATAATCTTATCATACCCTCACAGAAATAAGATACAGGAAGGGAAGAATTGGTTGAATTAAAAACAATTTATCACTGACAAATAGCATTTCTAATTGCTAGAAGTGAAAATGGCTAAATTCTGTACGCTCAGTTTCCAACTAAGCTTGCATACAAGAGCTGGTTAGAAATGAAGGCTTGCTATGGTTGGCTTCTTGCACATTAAAACTGGATCTGTGCAAGAGTGAAGGTTCTAGTTTTAGTCTGGGAGCACTTTGATGCACAGGAATGCGTGCTATTTTTTTGTGGAATTCCAGGAATGAGGTGTATAAAGGGCCACAACAGATAGCAAGAACTATACAGGACTTTCCCCTTCCTGAGAACTTATTGACTTGTATGCAAGAATTGAAGGATTCAAGGACTGAGTCCAGAGTATAAATATTCCCACTAATAACAATGGCTTGGGCAGTCTGAGAGTGGGCCTAAGCTGTAGCAGGAGATGGCAAATGCAGGCAGCACACACAGCTGGACCTCTCTACTTGTTAGCCTGTTTGACGCTCAAGTTTCATACTGGTCCTGCGCTGAGTTCTGAAGTGGAGATACCAGCACTGAGATACCACTATATTCAGAGCAAATGGAGATTACATAAGGTAACATGGGGTATTCAGAGGGGGGAATTACCTCTTGGGCAAATGAGAACTCATTGGTGAATTTTACAGTAAAGTTAAAGAGAACTTGAAGCTCAAATTCAAGGCAAAGTACCTTGCTGGGTCAAACCATGGGTGAAAACTCTGCTTGTCCTCCACAGAAGCCAGCTATATTCCAGATGTAGTGTATTGTTTTATTTGTGATGAGACAAAAGCTGTGTTTGGCATTTTACAAGAAAAAGTTCTGCCCAGGTCTATGTAACCCTTTCCCTAATAATTTTGTCTGGATGCTGAATGAAATCAACTATGATAAATGTCTATTCTAGGAGAGAATTAAATCCTAACATCCTGATGAAAGCATGTTAACCAGGAGATAAATGTTCTGATTCAACAGTAGTTGGTTCTATGCTGCTGTTACCTTGCACAGTGGGCTACAAGGCTATAAGAATTGGAATATGTTATGTGAGGGAGATGCATGGAGGGGTGCTTTGCACTGCTGGATGTGTTGGAGTGGTCAGAGCTAGGGACTAGTGCCAATACTCTTCCCTGGGACCATTCTGTGCAAGTTCCTTCTCTGGGCATGAAGCTTGCATTGTGAGGCCTGCAAGCACTGAGCTGGCAGCTTTAGGCCAAGTGGTCCGAAGAATGAATGGAGCAAAGCACACAGGCCTACAAAATGGTGACTTCACACTCAGCATTTTGCTACTTTGGGGCTTGCTAATGTCTATGGCTAAACTAGCAAAAAAAAAAAAAAGCCTGATGAATCAACTCCACATGTTGCTCTCAGACTAATAGCTCCTGAAGTGGTGGTAAGCTGTCCTCACCTGCTTACCATTTTGCACAGAAGGAAAAGGAAGAGCAACACCTGCTAAAGATTGCTCACCTAAAGCCCGCTGCCACAAAGATTCCTTTGTGCTCTTCCCATCCTTTTACATGATATTTCTGGAATGATGCAGTTACTTATGTCCTCATATGGTTTCCTAAGGGAGGGGTATGGGCAAAGAGAGGCACTAAGGGTGACAATGGGCACTTAGTGTATAATTTGGAAGGAGAAGTTTAAAATGCATTGCAGTACAGCAGTGCTTTGGTTGAGCAGCTTGCTAAGCAGGTAACGCTGGGCTGGGCTGTGTTCAGGTGCTTGGCTGGGGGCAGTCATGTTCATTCCTAGAGCTTCTCTTTCTGATTTACAGACAGTACGGAACCATGGTGTTTCCTAAACAACTGGCCCCATTCTGGAATCCTGAGTGACTCCCTTGGTACTGCTATCTGTTTTACTTCTCCAACATAAATTAAGGATTTGCTTTAGTTTTGGGTAAGCACAGTGAAAATCTCAATCCCTGAAATGGATGTATAATGAAAAATAGCACATTTGAGTGTCCTTGCATGCAGGTGTTTATTCTCATTCTGGCTGTTGCCTAATTAACATCCTGCCTTAAAAGCAGTTCTGTATAGATACCAAATAAAAAGATAAAAAAAATATATAGCCACCTTTTTTACTCAACCTAAAGATGTGTAAGAAAAACATGGCAACAGAAGTCTAACAATATATGCTAAGGGCTTAGAATATAATCTCACCTGTCCCCAAGGAAGTATTCCAACTGTTGGGAAAACTGACATTTGATACTATTATTAAATTACTTATGTATCAAGTCAGTGTGTATGGTAAGAAGGAGTTGCTTTAATGGAATTTTTGGTGTTCCTGGAATAATTCTACAAGTAGAGTTCTGATAGTAAGAGAAACAGTATGACAGACACTGCAGAATGGTATAGGACAAAGTATGCCCCACACAAAAATCTAGCAGTTGGCAAATGGGGAGTGGGTGATGGAGGGCAAAGGCAGGATGGCAGTGACAGACTCTTAGTAAATGCATCAGCTGGGGTGAAGGCTATTCAGCACTTTTTTTTTTTTTTTTTTTTTACTGACCCTCTATTTTTTCAGGTTCAAGATGCTAAAAACAGTTGAGCAAAGTCCAGGACTGATGTAAAAAGATGATGTTTTTTGAGGATGCAGGGACCGAAGATGTATATTTAGTTGGTATGAACATTTAAAAAGTCTTGGAAGAACATCATTAAGGGATCACCCAAGATTAAATTAGTTCTGATGAATTATTTAAACATCTAATCAACAAATGATGTAGTATAGGAGTACAAGTCCCTGTCACATAATTTGTGAAGCAAAAATAACCCTTCACTGTGTCCAGTGTGAATATTTGACAGTACAGTAGTCAATCCTTCCACCTCTCCCCCGCTAATAATATTGGCAGATTGTAGTAGTCCTTATAGAAGCACTGCACAGAGGGAGTATGTACCTACATAAGACTCTGTTCCCTGTTTACTACAGCAGATGAGAAAGGGGAGAGAAGCAGAAAGGTTAGTTATATTCTTTTTAGGCTCTTTTCCATCTTGATGAACTTCAACATAGAGTGATAGGCTAAATTTAGTGTAAGGGTCCTGACTGCAGTAGTTAGAATAGATGCTAAAGTCAGCTTAGCTGCAGTGTTGCTTGAACTGGAGGAACACTTCACTGCGTTGTAAGTGCTGGATACTGGCATGTAGACTGGCTGTAGCTTTGCTCTGTGGTGTGTTTTCCCCTCTAGCTTCAGAGAAATCAGCAAAACAAACTTCCTGTAGCCTTTTGGAGAAATTATATATGTGGAAAAATGACCACCTGTGGTCATAGCTGAAGTAGCCAGAGTGATGCTGTAGAGAAGGCAGGTTGACAGTGCCTTTTTTCCCCAAGCATTACTTCAAAGGGTAATGAAAGGACAAATAGCCTGTGCTTGGTTCACCAGTTTAAGACCTGGGATACTTTAACAATCACTCACTTGCTACTTTGAATATCACCAGATTTCAAAGGCTCTTCTCAGAGCAAAATAAATTTCAACTTTCTTCAGTTAGCAAGGCATATAGTACTGTAATAATCTTTATTTGGCTTTCCTCTCATGCCAATTTCTGAATGGAAAAAGTTACTCTGAACAAGTGCCACCTTTTTATTTATGTTTTGTTATATAGGTCTTGCTTGCCTGGTTTGATGGTTCCATTCATAGCTAATTACAAGTGTGGATGTTTACCTAGAGTTTGATGTGACTCCTGCTGCTGTAAATTTGAATCTAAATGAAGGTTACTGAAATGTATTTTGACTTTAGATACCAGTCTGATTTACTGGCAGATTCTGGGGTCATTCCATACCCCCAGACACATTCATGCTTCACCTGCTCTGCGAGTATGTGTGAGGAACACACAGTCTCAAGTGGATAGGGGAAATATATCAACAAGCTCGTTGTTTCTTAATTTATCACCAACAAATAGGCAGTTAATGAACCCCAAATACCCCTTTGCTGTATATCCTGGCTGTCTTCTCCCCTTTGCAACAGAGCACAGCTAGTTTAAATGATGATATCGTACACACGGCCCACTCTTCCCAGCCATTCCCGTACTGCCTGACGAACACGGATATCAGTCACATGGCAGGTCAGCTGGCTGATACATGGGAACACTGCTGGCTGGAGTGCTGTGAAAGTTTGGTCTGGTAGAGCCTGAATCTGGTTGAGAACTGTCAGCACCATGTTCGTCCATGCCTATAAAATTGGATAAAAAAAAAAAAAAACAAAAAAACTCTTCAGAATACCTTTCTATATAGAGAAGTCTATCAGATTAGACAGAAAAGGCATCTTATCACTGCAGCTTCATGAAGAAGGCTCAGCAATACCAGCATATTAATTTATTGTTGACTGCACAATTCAGTACTGTATGTTGCTGTTTGACTTTGTATTTCATGTATCAAGATCACTGTTCATCACCTACTATTTCATCCCACACCGAACAAAGATTTAATGCTTTTGCTGATTTGATTACTCAGACATACAAATAAGTTCCTATTTAGTAACAGAGCCCACTATTTCTGCTTTGGAATTAACAAAAAGCTTATTAAATAAAAAAGCATTACACCAAGTACCCTCACATTTTCAAAAGCCCTCAGTAGGCTGGAGCCCATAGCAGTAAGCAGAGTTCATTGTTGGTTGTTTTTAGGAAAGTGCAGTTTTGGCCTCAATCACAGAAAAACTCTTGGAAGCTGTACTGGTATACACCTGATAACATCTTCCCATAAGATTGATTTTCTTTTGATGGAACAGAACAAGGTTTTACCAGTGCCAGCTGCTGAAATATTCAGTCCTCATCATGATGATTTATTTAGGTAAGGTAGACATCTTATGAAGAGACTGTTATTATTGTGATAAAAGCAACAGAAAAATACTTCAGATATATTTTAAATTATTGCCATTATTAGCATTCTTTAAGTGTCCTACCTGTATCTGGGCCTCTGCATCCCTGACAGATATATTCAGGGAGCTGACTGTGGATCCTGAGCGTGGTCTCTTCTCTTGTCTTAGAATCTCTGGGCCAGCACTGAATGAATGCCTCATTTGACCTTGGTCTATAAGATGTTGTGGCCTCTGGAGTATGGGTGAGTCCTGCCCTCTGGAGCCCAGGAGCTCCCCTTTCTTTTCCACTTTGACCTCTTTGGTGAAGGATGTCATGGCCTGCTGCTGCTGCTTTCTTTTTTTGTACTCTGTCATGAACTTAGAAATGGTTTTGTCAGTGGCTATGGTGTAGATCTTGTTGCCAGCACTCTCCCACCATTCTTTTTTCCTGTTTTGTTCTTTTTTCTCTGGTTTAGGACTTGAGAGTGGGGGTAGTAGCAGCATTTCTCCACTTCGTGGTGTTAGGCTGTCTCCCAGTTGGTCCCTTATTTGACTCCGGTCATCTTCTGATGGAGTGTCCTTCCCAGACTGCCCTCCAGTTGATGGGGTGGAGGTTTCTGAATGAAAGGATGGTAAAATGAAGAACGGGTCGCCTTTGAACACTGGAGGCTCCTCTGTGTTATTCTCCAGGTCTAGGTGCATCTGGATATAGTTGTTGCACAGTTCCATGCAGAGCTTATGAAGCCGCTTGATCAGCCATCCCCAGTCTGCATTGCTGACAGGCTGTACACTCAGAGATGGTATTCGAGCCCTCCACTGTCTCTTCTCTTTTCCCCGAGGAGGACTGACCTGGGCAGTTTCTTCAAAAATATCTTCATCTTCTGAAGAGCACTGTTGTGATGAGTCAGTGCTTCTCTCATCGTCCTCGAAGAGGATCTTCTTCACTTGCTCTGCAGTGATGTTCTCCTGGTTTGTCAGGATAGCACAAATCAAAGCATGGAAGTAAATATTGAAGCTCATTGCTGACTGGCGATACAGGTTGGCAGCTCCACTAATGCCAGACACTTTTTTTAGCAAGCACTTCAACCCGGGCCTGGTGTCAAACTCTCTGGCTGTTCTATAGGAGTCCAGCAGTAAGTCAAAGATGACAGCCAAGTTTTGCATGGAGATGTACCTGAGAAAACCAGCCAACTTGTTTTCTGGTACTTGTATTGTCATTTTCTCCTCTAGGTTAGAAGGGCCTTTAACAAATTCTTCCAGTAGGATGTCATATAAATTCTGGAGCAGTACTTGGTGTGACAGCAAGCTCACCACTATCGTCCTAAAAGGAATACTTGGTAAACCAAGTATAGGAAGGAAAAAGAAATATAATTGTATGTTACATTTTTACTACAAGTATGCCAGTATTTCATGTTTTAGAATCTAACATGAAGGATATGTGTTAAAGGCCAAAATTTTAGAGCCTTGTTACAAAGAATTGAACGAAGGTGAAGTTATCTAGAATGGTCTTTCAGCCTTCCTGGAAGGGATGATGCTTCCATGCGTTAAATAAAATAACTGACCATAGCAAAAGCATTAATGGAACTTTGCAGAGGCAGTATTAAAGAAAGCTCTATTGTGTATTTTATAGATATATAAAATATATACATCATACTATAGCTACAGGTACCCTTAGTATTTTCATACTGCTATAACTAAGGAATTTTTTAAACACAAATTATTCAGCACTTTTGCCCTTGGATCCTAAGTACATTTTCTATTTTTGCTGTTACTGAACTCAAAGCTAAGAATTGTTCTTAAAACTTCTCCACTGGCATTTCAGCAAACCTTAACTTTGCCATGACAAATTGAGGCTTAAGCTGGTTTGCCATTTGCTTTCCATTTCCAATAACATCAGTGGTATATCTCAAAAATAAAATGCATAGAACCAACCAATAAAAAAAAAAAACCTTCAAAATCATCAGCAGTGCAATGGAACATGCAAAGAAGCTTAAGTCCTGGTGAGTGTTTGCGCTTACGATTTCAACTTGACTACTGAGGTCTTAGCCCTGTTTCTTACATGCAATACTGGGTGATTCCCTCCTGCTGGATGTTGTGAGCAGTTCTAGATCTCACTGATTTTATTTGCACAGGGAACATATGAATGACAATCTCTCCCAGATGAAGTTTTCAGGTAATTCACTAACAAATAACATCGGCAGGCTTACAGGCAGGGGAGGTTAAGAAGTGGGTTGGATTATAGTTAAAGCAAAACATTGGCAGCTCACAAATTAAAAATTATAAACTGTGAAGCCCATCTTAAGTTAGTAATTATAAACAAGTCTGCATCAGATGAAAGCTGTGATATTTCAAATAGAGTAGATGCGTTGTATGCACTTGTTTAGATTTAGGGAACTGGAAACTGTGAGGGATCACAGTTTAAGTAGCATTATTGCCAGGTGAGGAAAAGACTTTTCACTCTGCTTGCAATACTGAAGTTTTAAGTCTAAGTTAAAGTAAACTTTCAGGTAACATAAGATGCTCAATTTGAGACCTCTAAAAATCTTTTTCCTTATGTTAATTGATTGGTAAAGTCAAACACATGGTCCTGATTTTAAAAAAAGAAAAAAAAAACAAAACTAAAAGACAGTCCTGAGACTTTTGAGGGCCTGACATATATAGAAGCCATAGGTCAGAAAGAACAGTGCTTCTAGGGTTAGCTTATCTATGTCAGCTTGCTCACTTACTATAGCTGTAGCTGCCAGGGCTGATATGGTGGTTAAAATTAAGTCTTATTATCTGACAGCAGTACAATCTTGATGATTAACACATACACTGGAGCTCCTTGTGGGGAAGTAGTTTTCTGCTGTAAAAAAATCATTAAAGGCTCTGACTCAGAAAAGCTGTTAAGAGTGCATATAGAATTAAACGTGTACTTATTTCAAGAGACTAACTCCATTCCAAAAGCAGGAGCAGTATGAAGGAGACTGCTTTTTTATAACAGCCATTAAGGCAACTTACAAGGACAATTTAAAGTACTACTCAATTTTAAAATGAACAACAAAACAACAATGACAGAAACCAAAAAACTAGAACAGAACTATAGGTGAAAACATGATGTCAAAGCTGGTTAAGGACGCTATTTTCTTATTCTGACTACTTTTTAGGAGGAAGAGCTCCCTTACCCCAGCTTCCTGTGAAACGATGCAGCATCAGGGAAACAAAAGCAAAAGGGAAAAGAGAAAACTCCACTAAGGTTAAAGTAAAACTTCAAAGGCCACAGTTAACTAGCGTGCAAGACTGGCATATTACTGTGCTGCTAGCAAGTAATATGAAAAGCGGTGACACAGTCAACTTTTCAGCCCTGTTTTGGCAAAAAATGAGTATTGCTGGGTAATATTTCCCCATAAGGGAATATGCATTTGCAGTTAGACAAAGAGCAGTATGAGATCATTCAGAGTTTGTATTAATTGCAAGCTGTATTTATTTAAAGACTAACTTCTTGCTTGCATGGTCCTTCCTCCTGACCAACTACAGAAGGGCCATCGCATTCTGACTCCTGGTTACAAAACTGAACTATTCAGTTTTGAATGAGAATGCCTGAAGTGGTCCAGAAGCAGGTTTGGTAGCTGGTATAAGACTGTTTTACATAATATATTAAATACCTTGCAATATAAACACAAACCCTGAGTGTAGCACTAATTCTTGGCCCTGTGATACTATAATGGTTATTCAAACAACCAAGTGCAAGCGAAGAGAAATTTTCTTTGGCAGGATAAGACTAAGAGTCATGCAGACACGTGGTTTTCTGAGGTGGTAAAATATAAAAGGTTTTCTTTAAAAATAAAAAGTGCCAAGCAAAAACAAAAGTTCCCTAGATTAGCATGTTGACAGCTTTACAGATTTTCACGTAGCCTCTTTATACTGCTCCAATTACCCATTAACCTGTTTCAACCTTCTTAATCCAATAATACTGAATTTAAAAGACCAGTAAGTGTAGCAGAAAGTGTAACAGCACTTTGAAAGCTTTCTTCAAACTGGTATTTTTACACCTCTAAGAAAAAACATCTCAGTGTGAGAAAGTTTTCCTAATATTTCCCATGACAATTATTTTCCTAGTTTCATCTACTTTACTTTAAAGCTTTGTGTCACCTTCTTCAGGTACTTGCAACCTACCAACTCTTACTATCTATTAGAAGCTTTTTTTTTTTTTTTTAAGAGACCTGTAGAAAGGCACAGCCTCTGTTCCCATCTCTGCCAACCTGACAATAATTTTACCTTGTTTTTAACAACTCCTGAGAAGATATTTTACCTTCTCTGGGTATGCCCATTTGGTTTCTTATCTGGTGGCAGGTCAATGACGAGCACACATGACTGGGCATGTTCGAACCCCTCCTTGTTGCTAGGGGTCTTTGGGGAGCACTGAGTCTCCAGCATGAAGACCTAGAAAATGACAAATTACATAAAACAATTAGGTTTAGCATGTCTAATGGGCCCATGAAGGCCTGACAGCAGAATTTCATTAATTGTGAAAGATCTATGACAACTTTTTTTTTTTTTTACAGTGATGAAAGGAAGCTACAACCTGTAAGTATCATGTATAGCAAAGACCTGCTTACACAGTTAGCCCATTCCTCCTCAAAAGGTTTGTTATTGGAAGGATGGTTTTCAGCCACAAGGAGACAATGGACACCTAATTTGTAGTTACTTGGAAGGGAAGTAGGAAAACAAAACAACTCTCACTGCTGTAGCTTTGTTTCGTAGCTTAGTTGATGTGTCAAATCCTCGCTGAGAAGAACTCAGGCAATGCCTCTGAGGGATGTCTCTTAGAGAAGCCTAACTGCTTCATTTCTTACTTTATGAGCTTTGCCTCTGTAGAAATTTAGTTTTAAAACACTTTTTCTGTTCAAACAATATCTGCCACTGCCATGTTTTTGTGATCACAAATCCCGAACATCTGAGACATCTCAGATTTTCAAACAGCATCAGGATATGATTAAGGATATGATTAAGTCAGAAACTGACACCAAACATCTGTTGGCTCTTTTAATCCAGCTGCTTACCCATGCAGAAACTGCCATATAATGACTCAGGTCATTAAGTCCAGTTTGCTGTATTTTAAGGAACTTGTTTCATACAAACACCTTCTCAAAATGAACAACATTCACTGTAGACAAAAGAACCCTGAGAAGGTTTTCTCCCAGACTACTTAGTTGATTAGCAGTTAGTGATGATTTTTAAATCATTAGTTCAATGTCATCGTTACCTTCTAATTCTCAATAACTTTCTTCTCTCCAAAAAAATCTTCACACAAAAAAATGTATACTGCTCTTCAAACTTTGATTTGAGGAGTTGAACAAACCTAGTTTTTCTAGTGTAATATCACAGTGTCTGTTCTAATTTATTTTTCTTGCTTTTTGAATTAATCACTATTTAACAAAATAGTCAGAAATGCATACGATGTTCTAGATGAGTATTCATTGTGATGCCATTTCCCTTTTTCTGTCAGAAAGGTTTCCACTGATTTATGTTAGTATTGCCTTTTTTAAAGCTATACTACATAACAGGCTTGTAATCCTGATCAAATGCCTATGCATCTACCCCCAGCCAAGCCACTTAGAGGGTAAGTTTCAACGTTTTTGTTTCTAGTTTTCATTACTTTTTCTCACTACTACTGTTAGATACATGATAGCCTAGTGATGAAGAAGTCTCATTTGATTTGCTTATAGGGTTTGAGGACAGCTGTGCTAAAAATGTACTCAAAGAAAAGCCCCAAGTTGAAAGGCTTCTCCAACTTTCACTGAAATATCAGTCTCTACCTGTTGTGCCATGGCTCTGATTCTCCAATATTCAGCCTCAGCACTCGGCGAGAGGGAGGGAGCTGCCACCTTCACTTCACAGGCGTCTCCACTAAAGCTTTCAGAACCACTGTGGAAATAGCCCAATAGGTTCTATAGAGAAACACAACATCAGACTTTCACTGTGCGTTAAATTAAATCAGTGATTGTAGAACTGTTGAACTTGTTCATCTTTAATACAAAATTCAGAGTGGGAGGGATCTCTCCCGGTTACTACCAATGGACCACCTGCTCCGGTTACTACCAATGGACCACCTGCTATTCAGTATTCAGTGTATGTGATGCAAATGCAAACTTATATAGTAGTGAACTAAAGGGAATTTTTTTTGTCACGTGGTGATTTGAAAAATAATCTATATGGAGCATGCAGCAACTGGAACAAGTAAGCAACATTTTTATCCTGTCTACTTTTAACCAATTCAGAAGAACTGGAACAAAAGGTAAGTATCTTCTGCTATCTTGCTGGTGGGGCAATTTAAAGTTATTGATCACTGTTGTCTGTAACGTGCTTCAAAAAAAAAATCTGTCTCCATTGTTCATCCAATGCCTTTCACTGTGATTAAATAAATAAACAATGAAAACTAAAACATAATCTTATTTTCCAGCCTCTGTATCCAAAACCTTATGTATGTGTGTGTGCGTGTGCATGTGTGAGACAACTTGTCAAAAGTTAAAGTATAGATAGTTTTGACTGTCAGCAAAAAGGCAGTTTACCTTTACTGGCTCCAGAGTGGCAGAGAATGCATCCTGCAAGGCACAACATGCAAGCCTCCACATCTCTTCAGTAAAAACAGGACCTGCTGTCACTAATACATACCTAAAAGTAGGCACACAGGAAAACATTACCATAAGAAATAACTGAACAGTTCTCAGCTGAAATGGGAGAAGGTGGAAAACTAAAGAAAAGGCCCTTTTAGTAGCTAGCTAATAACATTCAGTCTCCTAAGAATTAATAGTTGTTAGCCTGACCCATTTTTTTTTGATATAACGCTGAATTTCTGACTGCTTTTCCTTCAATTTTCTTCCTTAAACAGAATCACAGAATCACCCGGGTTGGAAGGGACCTCAAGGATCATGTAGATCCAACCCCCCTGCCTAGCAGGGCCACCAACCATACACATTTAGATCAGGTTGCCCAGGACCCCGTCCAACCTGGCCTTGAACACGTCCAAGGATGGGGCATCCACAACCTCCCTGGGCAGCCCGTTCCAGGGCCTAACCACTCTCCTTGTAAAGAAAGAACAATCATCTCTCCTGAAGAAGAACTATGTTCTGTAAGTATATAATGGAGTGTTTATTTTGACTGTGATTGCAATAAACTGAAGACTGTAAAGATATCCACTATGCTCAAAGACCTGTGAATTCCCACAGAAAGCCCCTTAATTATTTTTCCTAAGGATTAATTATCAACTAACTGTACATATGTATCGTGCAAATATTTTTACAGGAATGACAGACATAGCAATATGCAAAACTACAGGTTCTAAAACAGACAGAAAACAGTTAAAAAAAAAAAAAAAAAAAGGCTGATAAGTCTAAAATAGAGATATATTGCAGACTTCTGAGATGCTAGCCAACTTAGTCTGTCCACAAGTACTTTTTTTTTTTTTTTTTTTTAAATATGCTAACAGATTGTTACCTGATACAAGAGCAGCCAACTCTGGAAATAATTTCTGTTGGTTCTGCTACACAGGCGACCAGCAACTTGAAAAGATCTTTTAGCATAGTATTGATCATATTTTCATAACCAATATCTGTAAGGAAAAGATACAAACTGGTTTTATTTAGCATCATTGCCTTTGCATTGCAATTAAAGACAGTCTTGACATGCTTACTGCAAATCAGAAACTTTGCAAAACCAATTCTTTTTATGTAGATATCATTAGAGTTCATGTTTTGAAACATGCATCACATCCTATTGAAATGAGAACTGTCCTTTTGAGGTTAATGATTTAAAATGTGTAGACTTCAGTTATACTAGAGAAATTCTGTTAGCTTCTGTTTCTGAATGTTCCTTAAGATTGAAGTCTCATTGTCTTCTTTTGGAAATGAACACTGTGATTATTTAATTTTGAAGTTAGCCCTTGTCTGAGCAACAGCATGGACTAAATAACCTCCACAAGTCCCTTTTCAAGTTTTATTTTTTCTATTTGTTAATAAAAAAGAAAACAAATTCTTAACCCTCCTCCTCTTGTTTTACACTTGAGCAACCAAAAAAGCAAAGAAATCACCTCCCCAGGTAGCTATTCAGTAACGTGCCATTAAACAACTATCAGGAGATTTGATAGTGTTAGGACATACCTGAGTGTATGAAGTTTTGAATGTGCTCCACTACGAGTTCACAGGAAAGGCCAATGGCATGCTTGAAATTAGCAGATGCCACATCCCAGTAAGAATGGTCACCATGGCTGCGATGGAGCCAAAGGGACATCGTAGGAAGAAGAAGATGTACAACCGCAAAAATGCCAAATCCTGGGCCTTAAAATAAACACAATGATGGTTGTATATTTTTGCTTACACAGCCTACATTCAAGATACGTTTCTTAATTCATTCCAAGCTTGAAGCCAGGGGTGATTCTAGAGAAGGCAGTTTCTGAAACTCTTTTTTTATGGGTTAAAAGAAGGGTGCAGTTGTAGATTTCATTATGAGATTAGTTTTAGTTCTGAGTACATGAATGTTTACTCAACTGTGAATCTCCTGTGCTGCTCAGGAGGCCTACAGGACTGTATAATTTTATGAATTTCCTGCACTTGCAAATGTTTTCTGTAGCCAGGACACTGACAGAATACTGCACCTCTTAATTTGTGTATGCAGGACTTAAGCGTACTCCTACAACATGCCTTCTGTCACCACAGAACAATAGGTTAACTAACTGGAACCACAAATCCCATTCTGAGAAAATTCCATTGTATTTGAGCATGTCTGTGCAGTTCTAGCACGAAGAATATCGCAGTTTATAGAGGTGGGTTAGTATTCTACAAGGGACAGGCCAGGGCTCCAGTAGCTCAGAGTTTATCCTTTAATTACCAGGTGTCTTGGCAACATCCCGCAGCAATTCGAAGAGCAGATCCAGAGTTGGAGGTTGGTGCTGGCGGGGACAGTTGGATATGGCAGTTGTTAATTCTTCCAGCAGAATAATCCAGACATTGATAAGGCCTACAAGTAAGAAAACAAACTTTAAAAAGCAGTGTGACACTGTACTGACCACAGGTGGAACTCAGAGAGTGATGGAAACTAAGCAATTAAATAACTTAAAAGATTGTAAGTACTTTCTCATTTCACTGCTGTGGTATAATTGCAGAGGGCAATATCAGTTTTTGAAAAGATTGTCTCCTTTTCTTTCCCTTTAATTTAGTTTCATGTTTTGTCCCACACTTCCTCCTCTACATACCTTTTTCTGGTCTAAGTTTGCCATTCCCACTAGTCCAATTCCTGTTTTATTTTTTTAAAAGTTATTTTCAAGTCTTGAGTGACAAGTTAGCCAATGAAAATTGAATCTTCTAGTTCTTTCTTAAAAAGCATAAAAAATAATAATAATAAAATAAAAAATAAAAAATAATAATAAATAATAATAAAATAAAAATAATAATAATAATAAAAAAAGTCCAGTAATGAAATGAATGTCCTCTAACGTGTTTTACAAAAGATAAAGGTACAAAAGATATGGTACATGTCCAAAGAAAATGCTCAGCCCTTCTAATGCTTTGAATTGCCCCTACAAAAAGATTCAACTAGACTAGATGTGTTTTATTTGCACTTTGAAATTTCAACTGGAAAAATTAAAACCATAAGAATGCACAGGAAATCCTGCAAGCAGTAGAGTTGTATGTGAGATACATAACACTAAGGGATCTCACTAGTACCGCAAATCTGCCCAGAACGGTTTGTACCTGTTTTGTACAGAATTATTTAATTATCTTTCTAAGTGAGGAAATAGCACAACTCACTCAGCACTAAGTCTGGCTATCTTCAAATCTGGAAGAGCTAAAAACATTCTCTGTTAGCAACTTATTGAATAATTTGGCATGGAATAAAAGACACTATGAAAATACATTGCACTACCCTAAGGCAAAGTAGGCTAAAACATTCTGCAAGATCTTGGAACTGACTTTTCATAGAATCACAGAATCACCAAGGTTGGAGAACACCTCCAAGACCATCCAAACCAACCATCCACCTGCCACCAATACTTCCCCACTAAACCACATTCTTTAGTACAGCATCTACATATTTCTTAAACAGCTCCAGGGATGGTGGCTGAACCACCTCTGTTGTCAGCCTCTTCCAGTACCTGACCACTCTTTTGGAGAAGAAATTTTTCCTAACAACCAACCTGAATCCCCTTGTTGCAACTTGAAGCCATTCTCTTCAGTCCTATCATTAGTTATATAAAATAATCCTTTCAAGGACTTGCAGAGAGCTGTAAAGTCTCCCCTGAGCCTTCTCTTTTCCAGACTAAATGATTATAGTCTCCCCAGGTGCTCCTCATAGGGCTTGTGCTCCAGACCCTTCACCAGCTTTGCTGCCATTCTCTGGACACTTTCCAGGGCCTTGATGGACATCTTTCTTGAAGAGAAAGGCCCAAAACTGAACAAACTACTCAAGGTGTGGCCTCACTAGTGCTGAGTACAGAGGGATGATCACTCGCTCCTACTGGCAGCACTTCTGATACAAGCCAGGATGCCACTGGCCTTCTTTGGCTACCTGGGCACACTGCTGGCTCATGTTTAGCTGAGCATCAACCAACACCCCCCAGGTCCATACTTCTTCCACATAGTCTTCTAGCCATCCATTCTGACCCAAGTCTGTAGTGTTGACTGGAGTTGTTGTGGTCAAAGTGCAGGACTCATCACTTTGTCTTGTTAAACTTAATCACATTATTTTTAGCCCAGCTATCCAGCCTGTCCAGATCCCTCAGAGGAGCCCTCCTACTCCCTGGCAGATCACCACTTTCTCCCAGCTTGCTGTTGTGTGCCAGCTTACTCAGGGTGCACTCAATCCCCTTGTCCAGGTCACCAATAAAGATATGAAACAGGACAAGCCCCAATACCAATCCTTGGGGAACATCACTCATGATGGGTCGCGAGCTGGATTTAACTCTAATCACCACCGCTTTCTAGGCCTTACCCTCCAGCCAGTTCTTCACCCAGCAAAGAGTGTCCAAGCCATAGGCTGCCAGCTTATCTAGAATACTGTGGGACACAGTGTCAAAGGCTTTTCTGAAGTCTAGGTAGATGATGTCAACAGCCCTTTTCTCAAGGACCCCAGTGCCCAGTGAGGCACTGCCTTCTGTTTTTGTAAACTCGGTTTACTTAGCATTGTTCTAATACATTACCAGCTTCTGCTTCAGAAGGCCAGCATGGATTCAGAAGAACTATGTCTGCATTTCTCTATTGCTTGGCTCCATGCACATCTAGTTCCGATGTTCTTCAAACACCTGGTTAATCCACAACCCACAAAAGCAACACGGATAACTAGGAGAATAATGTTCGTCATTTTTCTGGAGGTCACAGCACTTCCTACTGATTTTAGTTCATTTGGTTCAACAGACCATGGCACTTAAGTTTGGAAACGTATTTAAGTAAGTATTCTTTATCTTTGTAAACTTGACTCAACACTGACAGTTTTTCTGTGAAAGGAAGGGCTGTCAGCATCAACCTCAAAAGGTTTTCATTCCTTAACAGTAGCTGTGGTTCCAGAAAGTACTTTTGTGTTTGCTCTCAGACATATGTCTGTATTCTCTGTATTATAACATGTTAAGTACCCTGATATTTATTCATTTTATTACAATATTATTGCCTTCTCCCATGACACTGGTTGCATTTTTCTCATACATGAGTTGTAGCTTTTAACATACAGAAATTGACAGGATCTGAACTCTAAGTTGTATGTGCATACAGACAACAGACACAATAAACTCTGTGAAGTTTTTCCCCTCCTTTTTGCTTTCAGCAGTTGGCAAAATTTACAGTGACATGTAAAAGAAACAATTGATTAATCCTACATTTCCTGCTTTCAATGCACTTACCAGTGTCATCATCAAAGTCAGAAAGGATGCACTCAATGCCATCCTCACTGCTGGCTGACTGCTCCTGCACTCTTCGGGGCATATTAACCAGCCGGCCACTGAGGAAAATAGGTTTCAAGGGCATTTTGTAGATTTTGGCTAACAACTAAAAAAAAAAAAAAAAAAAAAAAAAGAGAGAGAAAAAATACACAAGAGAAACGTCACTACTGTTAGCTCTGTTTTATAGTAACTGTGCAAATAAGAATTTATGTCACTCTGGATGTGCTACTGTTAGGTTTTGAATGTTTTTTTCCCCACATGCCCTTCAGCTCTGACTGCTGTTACCTTCTCAGTTTTCCTGCTGTTAGCTGGCTCAGAACACGAGGATCCTTCAGATTGCCAGTCTCTATCTGGCAGTGCAGCCTCTTACCAACAGCTCTGTAGCAAATTCTATTGTATTCATGCATTGTACCTAACCAGTGATGCAAAGCCTCGAGGACAGGACTGTCTCCTAGGCCATGTTAGTACCTGTGCAAGATTGTTCACTATACCTGAGAACATCTCCTGAGGTAATCAAGCGCGGGAAGGCACAAGTCTGTAGATGCTGATCCTGATCCTGGCACACAGTCACCCATCTCCTTACAATCTACTTCCCCTGGGGATGGGAAAGGCAGCAGTGGGAGGGACAGAAGAGAAACAAACAGGATTAGCTTTGTTTTTCATGCAGTTAAATTCCACTGTCTGAATAGAATGCAGAAATCATCCTTTGTCTGATCTTATTAGATGACAACTGAATGATTCTCATATCTTGCTTTTTGATGTGTAACCACAAATGGGACAAACTTATCTCATGAAACTAAGAAACCTAGAAGAAATATGACAACATTTCTACAGAAGGGATGCAAGTTCTCCTTGCTGTACTGGACGAGCAAGTTTATTTCTCTTTTGTAATAATAATTACGATTCCAGTCCGTCATCATGAGCTGAATTCTGTCCCCCATTGATATAAATGGTGAAATAACAGGAAAGGAATAATTGCAGTTAGGTACTTTCAGACCTTACTATCCCTGTGGATCCTTTGGCCTAAGTTGTATTCATATGTATAAAGAAAAAAAAAAAGTTCACCTTTACTGTTCACTAGAAATTTTGCATTTTACATACGGGAAAAATATACCAATTTTACAGTTCAATGAAAACTGTTTAACTGCAACAATCAAGGCAAGCAAAAGAACTTGTGGGTTGAATGACCCAGCAGCACTCTCCTCTACTCTGAAGTTTGGTGAAACACCAAGATTACACTGAGACTTGACACACCTTGTCTCTGCTGTCCTCAGTAACGCAACAGAAAAATTAATGCTTATAATCTCAATCAAGGTTCAGCAGGTTTTCAGCACTGCATATGCAAAACACTGCTGAGGTGGGAAAGGGTGCAAAGAAGCCATGTAGCTTTGACCTCTAAATATAAGACATACCATCTGTTACAAACAATCTGTGCTGTCACTGCACAGTGCCAGGGTCATATCTCCATTATTGTGTTCTTTTATTTTTTTTAAAACTGAACTTACGCGAGTCCTGATGTAAATAAGATCAAATGACAAAAACATTTAAAAGAGAGAGATGTATCTTTGCTTCTATTATAACTCATGCCCTTGATAACATTCAAAATGTTTCTGAAGTTCTCTTTCAATCATTTTGGACTTTATTCTTGAGAAACTGAGACACTGCTTCTCTTTTCCCTACAGTACTCTGTATTACAAAGCAGGATTCTCATTTTTGGCAGAATCAAGTTTGACATAGCGTAAGTTAATAAAATATAAGGAAAATAAAAGCATTTACCCAGTCCTTTCACAAACTTCATAAGGCACATAATATAACTGGTGGCGGCATTGGCAAAGACCTGGATGCTGTCAGTGTTTAGGAATGCTTCAAAGACATCAAACACTGGGGCCTGGCGTTTCCCTGTGGAAATAACAAGATGAGGACTTTTTCCCATCCCCCATAAAGATGAATTTCCAACAGTTTCTAAACAATTTAGCTGAATCTGTAGGATCAATTCTGTTCCGGGAAGAGACAGAAATGCTCCAGTCATCTTAGAAGTAAAAACTAACATGCTTTTTCCTCTTTTGCTCCCAAGGCAAATCGCGTAACCCTACATTGAAAGTAATGCTGACTCCTTTCTTCACAACATCTATAAAAAATATCTGCTTACCAGTGCTCACATGGTAAGAGCAGGTACATGCAATCAGCAGTTGTGTAACATTTTTGTTTAGTGGAGCCTTAGTCCTAACTGTCAAGACGACACGGCAGTCACACTGAAAACTATTCTGACTCTTCTGATACAGTGACAAAGTAGCTAATCAGTCTACAGAAGCTGCATAAACTTGCATTTTGCCATGATGATAACAGATCTGAAAGACAAAATTTCGGATGCAAACCATACCCCTCATGCATGGCTTGTAATATTTATTAACCTGTAAATGTGTCAAAAGGACAGATTAAAATTATTTGTCCTAACTACCCAGCTTCCATACTTGCAATCATGTCTGAGAGAGACGTAGGATCAATTGTAAAGCAAATGATTTGTAACAGCACTAGTAATTAGAAACCCTGTGATCGAGTGCTTGGACAAGTACCTATCTGGAGTATCGCACCAACTGACATTGATGTTTAAGAGCAGGAGGTTTCACATGGTAAGAAAGGCGGTTGACATGAGAGGCAGTGACTGCATGCAGTCACTACAGCAGGGCAGTGACAAGAACTCAACTATGCTCAGCACTCACACACTACCATTTTGAACTCAACTATGCTCAGCACTCACACACTATCTTTTTGCTCAAAAGTATTCAAGTAGGTTTGAAGCATTTTTTTCTTATTATACTCATCTGCCAGAACTGAAAGGATAGAAATGAAATTATCTCTGCTTTTACTCCCAACCTAATAAATCAGATACATTAGTACAGTCTTAGAGTATAACAGTGCCTTTGCGAGCTATACTGTTTCAGAGTATCTATTCAGGTCAGGCATTTAAAATGTACTGAGTTATTTCTTGGGACATCAAGGAATTAGATTGCGAAACAGAAGAATACACAAAATAGTCAGTGCTGAAGACCTTACCCATAGAGTATTCTCCTACAAGGTACTCTTTAACCTCTGACTTATTGCCGCTGTGAACTGTTTCCAGGGCACTGAACAGGGGTCTCCATCCTGACTGGATCTGGGTAGAACACATTTCCACCAGCTCTCCTATGGAGGTGACCACCTGCAAACAGTGTAGGAAAGGCTCAAAGAATAAAACCAGAACTGATACAAAGCTGGACCTGCAGAAGGAATGAGGAAGGCTTTAAACACATTTCTAGATATACTCTTTTATCTGGATTTCAAAATCTAGACTTTTTTTTGTTAGATAATTTAATTAAATCACTTTAAAGCCAGATGCACTTCTACTAAAGAGCTAGTCTAAGCAATAAACAGGTAAGTAGTCAGGGGCAGAGTTCTGAAAACACAGTGCTTCTGCATTGTATAACATTATTCTCTAAAGGTACTGTTATAATGCCTGGTGTGCTAGAATCTTGGGAAATACAACAATAATTTGGTAGGTTCAAGCATCACATTTGGGTCTGCTCCTGAAGGAAGACCTGACTGTGGAATAGGGCCACACATGTATCATTCACAACTGCTTTACAGAAGAAAAATAGTAAGCTACACTGAACAGCAACATGTCAAGGCTCTTTTGAAGTACAGAAAGATATCTGTATGCTACCATAATGCTGATTTAGGTAGGCAGGGCCCTCCTGAATTCCTGAAGATAATTGAGGGACACCATTTGAAGGGCATTTGGGAAATATTCAAGTGGATCAAGTGCACTCTGCTGACCATCCTTCTTATGGGCATGGTAGGACAGATACAGGGACCCTAGTCAGGGCTGACTTGCCTGGTCTTGCACATCCTCATCACACAGCTCCAGCTGCATGATACGCTCAAAGGGGCGGAAAAGTGACTCATTAAAATGAAAATGAGAAGGTTCATTCCAGTCTGTCAGCACTTCGGTAAGGATGTCATGGATGAAAGAGACAGCCTTCCGAGACACATGCCTCTCCTTGTGACAGGCAGCCTGCAGGGAGAGGAAGAGTATAAGACTTCACTCAAACACAAAAGCACTTCATGATGCCAAACCCTAATGAGAGCTTCATCATGACTAGGGAGCCCATTTGCCAAGAAAATAGGAAAGTACTGCTATGGAAATGGGTGATTGAGACTATGAGCTGCTTGGGGTCTCACAGATGCCTAAAGATTTAACAAAAATTGAAGGAGCAGACAGCTAAAAATAAATTAAATAATAAACCCCACAGAACAGATCTCATGTCAAGTACTACCTTTTATTGCTACCAGGTGACAATTTTTCCCTTTTAAAAGTTTTTATGTATATACATCATATTTGATAAAAAGTGGCATTTGGTCATGCTTATATTTGGCCATTTATGGAACTTAAAAGTGAAGAGAACAGATCAAATAGGACACAATGTCAAGGGCTGTTACATATTTCAAGAAGACCATTATGCCTTCTTCAGCTGTTTCAGCTTTGCCATCCCTTGCACACATTCCCACCTTCTCCCCAATCCTACCTCCACCAGGTGAGGTGCCACCAGGCTCCAGCAGCGCATGAGGTGGAGCAGTGGGCGGGATTTACTCCTCACAATTCTGAGCATGGCATCACCAAGTCGGAACAAGTGAAGTGCACTTCTCCTGTCCTGGGTGGATTTTACTTCTCCTACAAGGGAGTAGAACAAAATAAACAGAAGCGTAAACAAAAAGCTGCTCCTTCATCTCTGGATGTCTAAAGAGAAATGTAAATCAGGTTCAAAATTTATAATGCTCAGCCAGAAAGAAATCAGTGTAAAACACAGCTTATACCTGGGTAGGTAAAAGAACAGGAGATAGACCCAAGCTTTATGAACAATGCAATAAAAACGTCTCATTTTCCTTTGAGGAAAGATTTTTTGGGAACGTTTTTAAGACATAACAACTTGGAAAATAATGCATTATAATTCAGTTATCATTATAATTCATTATAATTCAGTTATCCAGTATGGATAAAAGCAGACAAGTTAAGCAAGGAGGTAAACAATTGCTACTGAGAGCCAAATAGTAGTTGTGAAGACCTTTGGTGACATCTACAGGAAAGAATATAGACTGCAGATTATTTTGCGTTGCTTTGTCTTTTGTACTTACTACCACACAATTGGTGAGAAGCATAGAATTTGAGAAAAGGATCATGTGTTCTACAGCCACTAATACTTTTACTTCCTACTGAAAACAATTTATCTTCCTTTCCTCTTATAATATTCGAAAATATACTTCATTGTCTCATTAGAATATGCTAGTTTAAAATATGTATATGCCACTTTCAACGTAAAAGTATATATCCAATTAATTGCCCTACCTTAATGTGGATATCATTATTACTACTACTGTTGACTTACTGCTACACATAATGCCATACCTTTTTTTACTTAAAAAAAAAAAAAGCGACTGGAGACAAGGAGGAACCAAAAAAGAATGACTAATTTTTATACTGAGATAATACTAGGTAACACCCCAGGGAAAGGAGAAACCAATTAAGTTGGTTTTCATGTCTGCTACAGGACAGACAACTTTCTACAGGTTTTGTACTGTAAGGTATATGCTTCACTTTGCTGGGGAAGAGTAAGCAGACAACTTCCACTGCTGAATTTTTCATTTCTCAATTGCATGCTTCATTTGTTATCACTCATTTTATGAACACTTCTAAGCAAATGTCCTTTGAAGCGTCTCACAGCAGGGGTAGATGTGGTCCTTGTCTAAAAAAAGTTCTTTGTCTTTTCTAAAGATTTTGCAGTACTCCTACAGAAAGATCTTATTAGAATAAATACTGTTTTCTTTATACCCTGAAATTAAAGTGGAAAAATTAAAACCTTAAGAAAACGTTGCAAAGTACTAAAAGGTAGTACAAAGCTAATTTTGCAAGCCATACAGCTGTATGTGAGACAAAGAAGTCTGTGTTTTTTTGTTTTTTTTTCTACCTGGCATTGCTAGGGAGTAATCAACTGTATCTGTGACAGAATGGAAAAGTTGGGCCTGAGAAGCCTTCTTGAGCTGGTAAAGGAAGCCTGCCAGTGCCATCAAATTTAACTTATCAGCAGCATCTTCAAAGAGCCTGTGAATAAAAGAATAGAAATCAACTGAAAAATTCATGATATGGAGACTTAAATGTATTTGCAAGAGGAAAACCTTTACATGTACATAACTGCTGTGTGTTGCCTCTGGCAACACACACAGGAAGACCTTGATCCAGAAATATTATCAATTGGAGGGTGGTAGAGTGTTGTAGGACCAAACAGAACCCTTCCAAGATACAAATGCAGCACTATAACAAAAAAGCACTTTTTCAAGGAATCACCACTGCCCCTTAAGCGGATCTTAATTGCATAAACAGTTCATAAACAATAATTACAAAAAACTAATATGCTCAGCTCTCCCAACTTACATCATCAGAGCTTCACTGATCATAGCAGTTTGCTCCATCTGAAAAGCCCCTTAACATGACAAAGAATTGAATTTAAGTCTTAGATCTAAAGCTGCTATATCTGAATTGCTATGTAGGAATATAAACAAGAGCCATTATTTTCAACTGCAATGAGCTCTTAAGATTTAAGAGATAAACCTGTACCCTTAAAATTTTGCACAGATTGGAGGCAAGTTTCCACAGAATCACAAAGAAATTTCACATGGTACAGCCAGAAGTTAACACAATCATGATTCCCTGATTCTATTTTCCATGAAAAACTTTCTTTTGTTCTGACAGGAGGAACTGCTTCCATCCCTTCCTGTCAAGGCACGACACCTATTTTTTTTTTTTTTTTTTTTCTTTTTTTGTCTGCCTTAATGAGCAAACAAAATAGATTAACTTACATGCAAGCAATAGAACTACCACTCCTAGGATGCATGTGATTTACTGGTGGATTCAGACATACCCAGCCCAGCGCTTCCAAAAAGCAGGGCAAGTACAGCAAAGGTGCAGAAAACCAAGTCTTTTAAGAGCTGCTGGCTGTGATACGTAGTTCCCCTGTAAAACTCAACTGAAGCAAGTGGCTGCAATAGACATAAGGATCAGGGCCCACTGCATCACAGAAAGGTCTATGTTGGTCTTGTTTTAGGAGCAGAGAATCTAGTGACACTTTTACCTGTCTGCTTGTGTGGAGAGTGTGAGAACAGCCTTGGCAGCACTGGTCCCACACAGCAAGCTGCCTCCACGGAAGTCGAAAGCTCTGCCCTTATTGCTCTCCTTGACAAGCTCCTGGATGGAAACTGGCTGAATGACAGGATTACTGCTGAGGGTGGTCTCCTGCTCAGGGGTCTGTTCCTGAGGAGTCTCTCCCAGCTCAGTGTCTGAATGTGGGCCTCCAGGTGCCTGCTGTGACTGGGTGATGGTAAGGCAGGGCTGGGAGGTGCCATCACTGAAGTGGGTGTGCTCCAGAGTGCTGATGTACTCACACACCCTGAGAACAGAAGGAAAAGACGGATTAAAGCCACAGAACAACAGCTCCTGTGTCCCTAAATCAGAGGACTCACTGAAGAAATGCTTGAGTCTCTACTCAAGTCAGAAGCATGCTGTAAGCAAAACTCTCAGACACATCACAGATAGTGCGTCATCTTACATCCCTTGGCCTCCCATGTCCTCATATAGCAAACAGCCTATCTGAGGAACTTGAATGGCCATTTAGGTTTCAGGATCTGACACAGTCTTCTGACAACACTGAAGTTTCTAAGCATTGATTTAGTCTCCAAACAGATGTGGAAAGAAGTGATTTTTCTCTTACAGATATTTAATTCAATTTAATTACAGTTAATTCACTCTGTTACTGGCTATGAAGAAGACTCCCAGAGTATGTAAAGTCCTTTTTTCTCAGACTGGTACTTCATGGCAAGGCATTGAAAATTACGTTTCTTTTGGGAAAGCTGCTAAGTACCTGAACACATGAGGCCAGCAGTCTTGATTGTGGCTTCCCATCTCCAGGCCTACATCTAGGACTGCATCCATACACAAAACATGAGCAGTGTGTAGGCAGACACCCTGCACTTTCCCCATCTGCTCCAGTTTCTGCTCCACTTTCTGTTTCACTGCAGCACAAAAAAACAAAAAGAACATTGCCATCTCCAGCTTTTAAACAAACGTTTGCTTCTCCATATGGTGGTAATAAAGGTATACAGCCTGAAAGCTACAAAACAAGTTTGAATTTAGATAAAAAACAAACTACAGAATCTCATTTTTTCCACATAAACATAAGGCAGTTTTAAAATGAAAACTCCTGTGGACTGATTTTATGAAAAATCAGTCTGAGATTGACACCCTCTAGCCTCAAATTCACATCTTATTGCCCACAGAACATATGTAGCACTGCCAGCAATAGTACATGTTCCTATTCTGTGCTGGCTGGATTTTTATTTATTTATTTTTTACTAAAATCTCTTTTGCAATAGAAAAAAGGGTTTGTGGATTACACGTCATATCCATGTAAAAGTCCCAACAAAGAGCATTTGCTAATGGCCTCTGGCCACTACTACTACCTCTTTTTTGCTTCTATGCAGGCTGGCCAACTCAATTCAGTTACATCGAGCAGAGCGCTCAAAAGATAGCTTACCCTCAGACCTCAGGTTTGTTTTCGCTACTAAGACACTGAAAGTGCCAAGTAGGGTCATCAGTTGCAAATGTATACTTTGTTATGGGTTTCTTGCCATTAGAAATCAGATGTTACCTGATCTCCAACCAGCCATAAAAGACATTATTGACTTTCACTGTGTGAGGAACTTCTGCACAGGGGTGCAAAACATTTTAGCTGGTATAACTTTTCTTTAATTTCTTTAATTTAATTTCTTTAATCGTTAACTTCCTTTAACATGATTCAAGACAAGTCAGGTTCAGTTTATGTTCTCACACAACACAGCAACAAAATACTGTTTTTCTGATGCCCTCTCATTGTAAAAGTGTCACAAAACTTGGAAAGTGCACATTAAAAAAAAAAAAAACAAAAAGCAGTTAACCTTACTTGCTGTTTAGCTGATTTCAGTTCCATATAAATTACAATTAACATGACATATTGTTAAGAACCTACCACAGCAAGACATTTATTGAAACCTCTAGACTTACTTGCCCTATGCCTATAAAAAAATAATCCCCCTCTGTTGTTCTTTTGTGTATAGCACAGTACCTTCCATCTGCATCTCTGCAAACAATATGAGATAAGGTAGATCATTTAATCACATTGTCACCTTGAGCTATAGCATCACTGGGCTCTTGGATTTCTTTTTCCTCTTTCTCTTCTTGGACACAGGATGCAGCAGCCATTTGGGCAAGAGCAGATGCACAGTTAGCAGCAACTCCTGTAAACAAACAGCAGAATGTTTAATTAGCTTTTCCTCCTTAACCTCAAGCAATCTGAATAACAGGTTGAGTCAAGTAAATGGATGTATATGTCTATGTTGTAGGTAAGGTGGGTTCTATGAGAAGTTCTACAGGTTCCTTGATCATCCCAGACTAGAAAAGAATACTGCTTTCTCTTCCAAATTCATGTAGGGAAAGTTATAGTCCTATTTTGTGAGTGTGCCACGGCAACATAAAACACTGCAGTACCTAGGGCACAGCTCAGGCGGGCTGCCCTCCTCAGTCCATCCAGACTCAAACATATGGAGTCCTTCTCCTTTTGGTTCTGCTCTTTGGCTCCTTCTGCTCCCAGGATGAATGCCAGCCCCTTGGAGCTGCCTGCCATGCGACCAGTCAGCGGTGTGGACAAAGTGTCAATCAAGTTCTTCCAACAGCCAATTAAGAGGTATCGGGCAAAAGCAACTCCTGGAGTGAGAAATGCATTACTATCACTACTGGAAAATGACATAACAGCATCTCTGTTATCAACAGTTAAAAAATGTAAAAAAAAAGAAGTTATAAATGTCCCCTGCATGCTGGACTTCAGATGGTGGTAATAAAGGTATACAGCCTGAAAGCTGCAAAAGAAGCTCATATGCAGGATACACTGATACACTTCCTTCAAATCTTAAACTGCTGTTCTTAAACCCAAGTGTGTTTACGGTATAGAACAATTCACCATTGGTAGATACACTTGTGCTTACAATATATTCTCAATACCTGCAACAACAGAATCATCTGTCTTCTGATTCTGGGAAAGAGGAGATTGAGCTGAAGCAGATGCCATCAACTGGCCACCAACCGTACTGCTTCCCAAGCCATCGATGTCTGACAGAATATCAAAGAAAACAACAGATTACTTACTATTCAACAAACAGATGGCAAAAAGAAAGTATCTCTTACTGGATCCATGTTCAAGCAGATTTTGGTGTCCCTGATTTCTCATGTATGCTTTTTAGATTCTCTTTTCTGGCAGCCTGGTGAAGCCTTGGTATAAATATAAGTTGTGGCACTTTATATTCTTTGCCTGGTATCACCAGCTTTTTCTTATAGAGTGGAAATACCCTTACTCCCAAGAGCTCCCTGAAATTACACAGTCAGCGGAAATTCTGGTAAAGATTACATGGTATTTCTTATTGTTTTGGACCTTCTGCAGACTTATGCACAATCTCTGCATTTCTGAGTATTTCCTTTAAAATCTTGCTAAATCCTGTAACCATGTGTTCCCATATCTCACAGTCCCCCCGACACACTGGGATCCTATTTTCTAAATGGAATTGTTAGTGGGTTAGACCTACATGGGTTCAATGTCAACATTTACTCCAACACAAGACTAATTTGCAATGCAGAGTTTAATATTAAGGACACTGGCCTGACTTGCTTCCTAGAAGCCCGTCTGTCTCTTTTTCACATAGCTATCATTTTTCCAAAAGTGTTTGTTTCAGCTTCCCAACTGACTGCTCATCATACAATATTTAAAGGAAACGCTGGTCTCAACACAGTCAGCAACAACCTCTCAGAACATTGCTCTCTGATTACCAGTTAATGGCTCAGCTGAAGCAGTGTTCTCCATACATACACTGTTCTAATTACTTCTTTGCAATCATACAGTATGTACATTCAGAAAGACAGTGTATTTTACACCACTGTAGTATCATAGGCACCCTGTTGCCTTTAGCAGATCATATAAGATATTTTTTTCTCTCAAATGAAGCTAAGGATTGTTTTTCATTACTTGTTAGAGATGCTCTGGGTTTTCAGCTTCTCACTACTGCCATTTCGCATATCCCTAGCATAGCACAAATCTGAACCAAAGGGGGAAAAATCTGTGGAAAGCTTCCAAGACCAGAATCCACTATTTATATTTGTTTGTACCAAAGGCATACAGAAATGGCTTTGCTATGACATCAAGAAAATAGCAGACTTACCACCCATCATTAAAAGGTACCAAACCTGCTGTAACTGAAGTTGAGAGAACTAAAATATGCTCTGGTTCAGTATACAAATCAACCTTTCCCGTCCCCACCATACTGTCAAACATTCTTCTGTATTCATTTGGCCAGAATATGCAGAACTCTCCTTTATGCATACACTTAAATGTATCCTCGGACAGATTTTAAAAATTTCAACACAGTGGTGCTACTAAAGTCATCCTATGGAAAGAGAAAACTGCATATCACATCTTCATGTTGTGTAAACTGAAGTTCAGAGATGTTCAGTGAGTGACCTAGCCTACAACTGACTGGAGAGCCCAGCAGCTGTGTGATTCAGGTATACTTATTATATACAACAGGGTCCAGATTACAAGTCATTTAAATAAACATAATATATTTTTTAAAGGTAACCAAAATTCACATGATTTTACACATAAGTTATTAGGAATACCAGTAGGATACTGGGTCCAGTAGCATTTAAAGAAGTGCATTTCTTCCTTACAACTCCTGAAGTCTATCAGTATCTCCTAAAGCAAAAGGCAGCCACCTTTCAGAGAAAATAAAAGTGCCTTTTTTTTTTCATTTTTATTTTTTAATTCCATATCCTCATCATTTATCTTAATTAGCATGCATTCCTCTGGAGACAATAAGAAGGAGTCTCTGTTCATCTGGATCTTGATAATAATTTTGCCTTTGGGACATTGCCACCACACAGATGATAACCCACAAGTTGAGCAAACAAGTCATTCCAGTCTATTTAGCTTTGGGTCACATTGACCACAGAGATTCAAGACTACTACAAAGTTTCAGTGGATTTATTTGTTTTCAGACCCAGAGTTTAAAGTTTCCTGTCTGACCCAGAACAAGCACTTAGGTATTTGCCACCACTGAGTGGTGCACATTAGTGAAACACCACTCACTGCCTGATTACACAGTATGTAATGGACCAAAGCAGAGTGTTACTGTAGCTTGTTTTAGACACAATTGGAAGTTAGTTCCTGCCATCATAACATTGTACTAACCAGTCAGCATAGTAATAAGTGGAAGGCTGTGTTCTTCAGGGCTTCCCCAGTATCCAGCTTCCCCTAGCATGTTCCTTTCTAGTACCTGGTGGTACAGTTCTTCAACCCAGGCTTGGGAAAATATCATCAACACTCCACTGGACTGTACCTGCTTCATGAACTCTTTCTGCAGGCAACCACAAAAGCCACAAGTAAGACAACAGTAAGTTCTACAGCATGAGTTTCTAGCACTAGATCCATTCCTGAGCATAAGGTGATGCAGAAGTAGAAATGAAGTTATACAAGACTAAGAACTAACAGAGAATTATAGCGTGTCTCTATGGTGAAAATGACATGAACATAATTCTCGTTGGAGAATACATGAATAAAGAGCTTTCCCTTCTCTTATTGTAGATCATGCAAGACACAAATAATAATGACAGTTCTCATACAGCAAAGGCAAAAGATGATCTCTTACCATTTTCACAGGGTGGGGATAGAATCTCAACTCCATTAAAAACAAATTTGTGGCACCTAATGCTGCTTGTCCAGCAGTCAGGCCCTTTTGCATTGAACAGCTGTCACAGACAAACTGGGGTTCAATTAAATACATCTGAACTATTTTCAGTAATACTTAGGTATTAAAACCTAATTATCTTTCACTCAGACAACTGATGCCTTCATCTGTATAAATGCAAAGCTGGTATTAAGCAAGACATTTATTAATATGCTCAGAAGTATCTGCAAGATGAAGGCACACACCTTTATAGTAGGGACTAAAAATACTTAATATATGACACACTGGCAGTGAAGATTTGTTACAAAGATGCAGCATCCATCAAAATGACTGCTTCTTTAATGATAATTGGTAGGCAGCATTCATTCCTCCCTGAATTGCAGTGAAGCTGCGTAATTCAGATGCATGATGTTTATCATGCAAAATTTATAAGTAGTTTGCTTCATTTGCAATTATTATTTCTCCACTTAGCAAGTATCATGAAGGACACTTACATGTGGGCTGCTTTATGTGAAAGGAAATGAAACAATCTCTTTTCAAGCATTTTCTCTGTATTCACCAACTCACCAGCAACACAGGAGCTTGGGGAGGCTTCTTCCTGTAGTAATCTGAGTTGGCCAATTTCAGGTTTAGCAGCAGAGTATAATGAGAGACCATGTAGAGACTGTCTGCATTCATCAGAGTTTGGAAGCTGAAATTTGGGTTTCCTTCAAATCCTGGTGAGTGCATCGTACCTAACAAAAACACCATGTGAGCTCTCACATTTTACACAGATTTTGCCTGGAAAAAAAGATCAGAAACTAACCCTAGCATTCCAGCAGCAACAGATTGCTAGAATAGTTAATGAATCGTCAGCAGTAGTTGCTCTATTTAATGTACTAGGGAGTAGAGAACAAAACAGACCATCCATAATGCAGTGCTGCAGCACACAAAAAAGTCCAGTCACAGTCCAGCAAAGAAATATGCTTAATTTGAAGTGCATAAGGAGCACCAGTATTCACTAGGATCTCTGCCAGGTACAAAGCAAAGGGCAGGATACATCTGCAGTGGTAACCCGAAAGGTGAGGTGGGTAGGGGCAGAGGCACAGCCTGTGTACTTACAGAAAATTGAGCATACTTGGCACAAACGGTGCTAATGAGAGACACAGACCAGTTAACATCCCAGTAAAGTTGTTCCAGCTAAATTAGTTGCTGGATGGGGACTGGAGTGCTTAGCACCTTGCAGGGTCAGGCTGTAATCAAAGAATGGCCTAGGCTGGAAGGGACCTTAAATCCTAAACAGTTCCAAACCCCCTGCCATGTGCAGGGTTGCCACCCACTAGATCAGGCTGTCAAGGCATCATTCTTTCCATGGCCTAGAGTCATGTGTACAGATATTTGGAGTCAAACTGGCTAGGACTTCATTACAACTCCAAGCCCTGTTTAGTTCACAATAACACCTGCTTTTTGGACAGCTGAGTACTTGCCAGTTCCATAAGCCATTATCTGTAAGCACTCAGTACTCCTGAAAACACTATCTGTATATAAGGTGTACCACTAGGCATGACTGTAGAGTGTAATCTCTCCTTCCTAGGTAGGATGGGAAGCACATACATTTTCCTCTGAGTTAGCTGGCCTACTGGTAGAAAATAACAAATCAAGTACGAGCAATACTTAATCAAATTCCTCTGAGCTATCATCTGAGCCATGAAAAAATCCAGAAATGTTTGACTCCCTCCCACCATGAACCACAATATTTCACGGTTTTCACATCAAGTGTGAGAACCATATACCATTTCATATAACCATCTCATATAACATTGATTAGGGGAAATTAAGGAGTAAGTTTTCTCCTAGAGGAACATTTGTAATGAAACGAAAGAGAGAGCTTCCAAGGTTTGTTACATGAAGAAGCACAGCTGCGTCGCTTAGTTAGCTGCTGAAGTGGTTGACTGTGAGCATATTCCTCCCACCACAAATCTCATGCCTGTTCTTAGACAAAATACAACAAATCATCAACATTAAAAAATTAAAAAAATAATAATTAAAAAAAAAAATCCACACACAGAAAAAAAAGCAAATGTTTTTCTTGCCTCGTGAGGGTTTGAAAGTTCTGTGCTGCTGCCTTCTCGGACTTTCCACTGACGTCACTTTGGGGGCGTGGATAAGGTGAATAACTGTTTGAGGGCGGATTTAGAGAGAGAGTAACTGTTCCAGGGTGGGTCTAAAAAATGAACAACTCTTTCAAGGGAGCAACCTTTGTGGAAGAGGGGTGACAGGGCTGGCCACACATTATACCAACACGGATTTCCACGTGTTTGTGGTAGGCTTCCTATGGTGAATGTTAACAAAGAATTTTTAGCTAGTCCCAAAATCACAACCCTGTGCTTAATAGCAGGCCTATAAGTAGCTTCAGGGACTCCATCACTAAAGTTAAAGATGGATCTTCACACTTTGCTGAGTGCTGGATCTTGATGTAGTTAGTACATACTGATTTAATATGTGGTATCTTACATAAGCACTTCTGGACCTAGAATAAGCTACAGTAATATCGACTCAATGTGAAGTGTTACATAAATGAAAATGTGGGCTAAACTGCTTATAAAAGCACACTTGTGTATAGCTGCACATAAAAGAGGCTAGTAACAAATAGGGCATGTATTTGAGTGTTTGGAAAAAATCTGACCTCTAACTCCTTCTAAAAGATCAGAAAACATCTAACTACATTTGACAGAAGCTCATCCTCTCAAAAGGCTGATAGATAAACAACCTGCACTGACACTTAACAAAACAAAAACCTTGCCACTAAAAGCTGTGCCATCAAAATCTGGTGCTAAAATGCTTGCTATGATTATTAACACCATGGCACACAATTATTAGAATTCCTTAAAACAGTAATTCATGAGAATAGTGATGTCTGAATTAAGATAATGTTGATCATGAATTTTACTTATAAATATCTGCCAGCCATAGCAAACAGCAAGCTTAGTACATTGCCCTAAAACAGACAGGTCATTTAAATTGGCAAGGTCAAAGAGAGCCTACATAAAATGAAACGTTTTGTTCAAGCCAAGACAATATTGACCATTTCTAGACAATTTAGTATTTTTCAGATAGACATCACACTCCAATGTCAGTAGGATCTTTTTAGCATTTATTCTATCTAGCAACAAGCAAGGGAGAGCCTTCTGAAGGAACATTATAACCAGCTTTTAACCGACTTTCAAATCTTACTTTCCTTTAAATTCTGCCTAGCTTTCTTTGCCGATTCCATGCTTAAATTCCTGTGTTAACACTTCAAATTCCTACATTCTTTCATTCTTTCAGTCCCTACAAAAACAAAACAATGTTACAATGATATTTAAGGATCTAGCTGGTAGGAAAGCTCTATACTAACATATTTCACTGCTCCCTTGTGTAAGAAAAATTAATGAATGAACCAAAGCACGTAAATTAAGACTCAGAAACAAAATTACTATTTCAAATTTCCTAATGTAGTCCTGAGGAATTATACATGAACAGATGCTATACATCCAAGGAGTCATATCAGTTCCTTTAACTTCATCACCTACTTTGTGCCTTGAATTTCTGGTGCTAATGAAGGAGTTCTGAAATAATAATTTAATACTCCCTTCAGATGCAGAATTGGTGCCTCAGAAGCTCTCTGGGAGAGAGTTGCCACCCATGGACACATTTTAAATAGGCCTTCAGACTCATGCCTCTCATCTATACGCGTCCTCACCTCAGAAATATTGATGGACTTGTGTTTAAGATCAGAGGTACACATTAAAGGACTGTTTCAGTCTGATTGAGCCTCTTTCCAGATGTCTTACTGAAACATGAACTGCACAGACCTTGTGTACAAAAGTAAGGGGAATGCCTTATGAAATCACGAAGATCCATCACATCGTGAGGCTAGCTTTCTTAGAAATGTGAAGGCTTTTCCTCAACTCAACAGTCTAAGACCGGCTATCTTTCTAAGAGAAATGTACAAACCAGACAATATAAACTTAATGTAAAAACGGACTGTTATCCTTCTATCTTTTTCACTGTATTAGTCATACTGAATGACAACAAAAGTCATATTTAGCTTTAAAATCCGGAATTTGGCTAGGTATACCTCTTCTAACACTTCAGAACCTTCTACAGGGTAGAATCTGATAGACAAAAGGTTAGGAGAAAGATGTTGTATGCTTATCTACATACGAGCTTTCTAACCGTGGACTTATGCTACAATTTCATTATTTTACAGGAAAATTAATTCTTTGTGGCAGGAAGAATGCTTTAAAGCATCTCAATTCAGAATAAAATCAACATCCTTTTAAAGACAACTCCTTTGTTACGAATGCCTTATTACTATCTTCCTGAATCAGGCTTAGTTGGGCAGCATTTAAACAGAAAATCAGCAATATCAGCTTATTTGTGTGGTGTTAACACATTCACCCAGCTTTATATTAAAATACTAATGTATGACAGCAGAGGCATCCCTTCCGACCCCGTATGAGTAATGTGTACGAGAGCACAAGTGAATGAAGCAATGATTAGGAGAGAAGTGATGGAAAAGGCAATTGTGGTGAATTAAATTTAAGAAACAGAGAAATATATTTTCATGAACATTTCCACCTCTGCTACTGCCAGGAAAAAGAAACCTCTCTAACAATATGTGCATATCTTAGTTATACTATCAACAGGACAGACTTGCCTTTACATAGTTTTTTTTGTTTGTTTGTTTGATTGACCAAGTCAAAATCCCAAATCTAACCCTGAGAGAAGAGTAAGCATTCTACCTCTTACAAGGTAAGATCTTTTAACTATTTTTCAGTTGGTCTGAACTTGAGCTCTCAATTTCCTGTCATGATAAATTGCAATATAAAAAAAGAGAGCAAGAAAGAGGAGTTGATCCTCTTTTCTTATCTTTTCAATAGCTTACTGCAGTGAGATTTCTATTATGCTCTCTGCAAGGCTTGGCATTATTAATAGTACTGAGGTAACATATTAAGCTACTTGAATCCCTTTCAAAACAGGTGACAGTTCTCCCCACATCCCTAGTTTTCATGCTAATGGGCAGCCTCTCCTTAACATCAGCACATGCAAATTTTCTCAACAGATCTTCACAAGCCTTTGAAGAGATATCGCACTACGGAAAAGTTGATCTTACTATTGACTGAGGACATAATCCAGAGTCTGTTAAGTGCTTGTGGATTAACCTGCATATTCAATTTGCCCCACTCTAAAGGAAATATGCTGTAGCAGAGGAATGTGCTTTGTAGAGCACAAACCTTTTTATTCTGGACACATTCTCTGAAGATGAACTCCTACAAGAGAATCTTACAGCGTGCATGTTGGTTGGACAGTAAATATTTGCTTGCAAACCTGAGCAAAAAGCTGAAGAGAAGTTCTGCAGTGCTGCATCCACCTCCTCTATGCTGGGTAGAGCTATGAGCCGCGGAAGAAGAGCTTCAAGTGATTGGATGAAGAGCTGTGCGCTGTGCTGGTCTGCTTCCTGGTTTTTCAGCAACTTTAGAGAGAGAGCAGCAGTACGTAAGGACCTGGTACCTGGACAGTCTCGTGGTGTCTGCTCCTCATCAGCCAAGGAGCAATTGTCAGAGCCTATGTCCGAAACATCTGACCGGCCAGAATCCTTCTCTGCTGCCATGGAATACTGATCACATGAATCAAACTCAGTCCTAGAAAGATCCTGATCATCTACACTGAAGTTACTTTCACTGTACCTGGATCCATAAGACCGGGTCTTGCAATCAACTGATAAGAAGTTAGTTATATCTGGATAGACTATGTTGTGGCTTCTCTGAACAACATCTGGCTGGTCAATGGTTTCTGACTCTGGTTCTCTATAATGAATCTCTTTGCTTTCATGTCCAGCTGGAGACGGCAGTGAGTTTTTTTGACTTTCCAGATTATCCTCTGGAGTTGTCTGTCCCATATCTCCTTCCAAAGTAGTCTGACCAGTGTCTGTGGTAACGCTAATGCTAATATCAGGACTTTTCTCATTTCCTGATTCCCAGGCAGGATTTTCTGAGGAAAGAATGCGCCTCTGCCACCTGAAGTCAGCATCATTGATCTCCATGGAGTCCCTGCTTGTCTCAGTCCCATCCTTCAATTCTTCCAGGCGCCGGAGGAGCAGATGGACCTGTTCCTCACTAAGACCCCTGCCATGGCTTAGCTCATCCAGTGCTCCAAGCAGGGCGAATACGCAGGACACTGAAGCATAACATGCTTCAATACCACCCTTGATGCACGCTTCTGTCATCCCATCCATGATACTACAATTAAAACAGAATTTATCTAAGTGATGCAGCGTATATAGCGAGCCTGTCATTATCATCCAACACTAACCCTCCCAGAACTAGGAAAAACAGAAGTGAAATTGTCCTGTTGTACTACTTCTGGAAAAGACAACTAGAATTACAACAAATAATTACATCTCCCGTGTGGACACAGCCAATCTGTAAAGGGAGTGCCAACCAAGGAAATAGTTACTGGGCATTTTTTCCAGCATGCACAGTGCATTTTCCCTTACAGACAAGCACTCACACTGAAAAACGAAACAAACAAGCAATGCTCCCCTCCCCCAACTGAAATTAAGTTGTGTGTCCTGAATTAGCAAGAATGCTCTTTATGAGAATGAAGAATGCTTTTTGCTCAATCTGACAATGTTTCAATTCTGGATTACCTCCTTTGACTTCACCTTGGAAATGCACTTCCAAATAAGCACAATCACTTCATTGCAATGTTAGAACCCATACCTAAGAATTTCCAGGTGTAAAACAATTTATATGGGTATTTTTGTAAACTCCTCAAGGCGGTTACTTTTACAAACATGCCCAGACTTACTAAAAATCAGTAAAAGCTTTTATCCATCACATTGTTTCACAGCTTATTTCACTTGGGAGATACCCTGACTTGCTCATACGAGGGTATGCTTCTGAAGGTGCAACTATTTAAGTGTCTTGTGCACACAGGTTTAAGAGGATAAAGGAGGAAACAAAGCATACAGCTTGAGAAGATCCAGATGGGACTTCCTTTTAGAAATAGACCTCTTCCTGGATTCTGACTCAGAAGAGCAGGGCCCTGCCAAATCACAAAGCCTCCGAGGACTGCCAAGTATCTGAAGGAAAGGAAACATAAGTTATTAGAGGGTAATTTAAGTGTTATTTAAATACAATAAATGAGTCATAGTTTGGTCAAATGCTAGAACCTGAAGCAGCTGTACTGCAAATTCTCTCAGCAAACTAAAACAGCACACTTAAGTTTTATTTATGAAAGTTATCTTTCCTCTTTTTAAAAGGAGAAATGCTTATATAGAAAAATGACATATACAGCATGCATCACATACAGGTTGTTCTCTAGTGCTTTACATTACTGACTGAACATGTTTCAACTGAACTGCAACCAAGACAATCTCAAATGCCTAAATATACAAGTATATTGTATTATATTATATACTGAAGGGAGTTTTGCTCTTCAGTCACCCATTACAAAAAGTCACCCATGCAAAAACACACAAAGTGATTCCTTCTGTGAAGTGATTCAGGGAGAAAGTGTATTAATGAGCAGAAAGAGGTAACAGAGAGATCCTGAAGGTAAAAATATTGAACTAATATTTTCCTAAAATATCTTAAAAATGAAATGCAGATTGTCATCTTGCAATTGTTTAAAATTATAGGAAGGTAAGCGCCAGAATGACTGGGCGTTCTGACAGCAACCCTGTGGGTGGTTGTGTGGTGTTAGGAGGGATCTTCAGACAGCCTCTCTAACAAAAATTCTCTAAAGAAACCATTGTTCAAACAAATTATGGATGCTGCTTTGCAGTCCACAATACAAGAAGAATGCAGCCAATGTAAATGTGCTGTTTGAAGAAGTCTCACAAGCACTGCCACAGGTACAGGGTGACAGGCCATAAAGGACTGGCCTTGACAGCCACTTGTGACACTGGCAGCTTCCTTTTGACTACTCTAATATAGCTCAAGGAAACCATATTTCAAAAATCTGGCACATAATCAAAGCATACATTCCCCTTAATGTCAGGAACACTGCAGTGTGAGGATGAATGTCTTCTAGCAAGAGCAGAGAGTGGGGAAAGATGCCAAAGGAGCTGAGAACAGAATCACTACACTGCATGTCATCCAAAAGAGCAGTCATGACTCAGTGATAAGACCCACTCCAAGCGTGAACACGGAGTTGCCATAGCAGCATTATGGAGACAAATATATCTATTACAATTTTGTAAAACTAAAAATATTTATCAGAGTAGCTTTGATGTAAAAATTGTACTCAGAAAGGGGCAACTACAGCACCACTAGTGCTAAAGTATGGAACAGACAAATATGCACATCTCAGCAATATTTACTGTTAAATTAACGTTTTGCTTTACTTGCATGGATTTGCACCTGGACTTTACATCTTACCTCCTTCATAATTTTGATGGCTTCTACTCGGTGCTGAGGTGGTGGGTAAAGCAATATCCGGTGATACAGAGACTGCAGCACAGGCTTCATGGATTCCACTGTCCCCACCAGTCGAACCAGTTCTGCAGCAATATAGTATATGGTCCGTGCAACAGGCCCACTGAGGGCAGGTGCCGTGGATGAACAGCCTGAACCTCGGCCATGATCAGAGACCCCTGAGGAAGGTGAATCAGCTTCTAGACAGATGCTGCTGTGGGCAGAGGTGATAGTTTTGTCATGGATTGGATTTCCCAGGATTACCACTAGGGCTGGACACAGTTGCTTCCTAAGAAAAAGAGAAAAAGCAGCAGATGGTAACCAGAAAAATCTCACAGGAACAGAATGAAAATAGCCCATAGCGCACACTCTTGTTTTAATAATCAGTGAACAGCAGTGGTTAGATTGAATAACAAACTACATGAGGCTCTTTTAAACTCCCAGGCACCAGCAACCTAGCACATACACAAATGCTTCTGGGGGTTTTATAAAGATGATACTGATTTTCCAAGTTCATATTACTGCACCATGCTGTGTCCTTCACAGAATAGCATACTTCCCTCTTTAATTAGCTACAACATACCTCGAGGTAGGAACACCAAGTTTCTGCTGGCAAGTGTTTCTTCTGTCCAACTTGGGAACTTAAAAAAACCTGACCAAATGGAAAACAATCTCTGCTAACTGCATGGCTTGATGTTCCATTGCTGCTCTGAACATGCATGTATGTCACTAAGCAGCCCTAGCTGCGGGCTTTTGAGAATGCAATTAAAGTCCTCTACAGTAACTCCAAGTATGCAGTGTAAATTCTCATATGCCAGTAAACACACCACCCTTCCTTAAACTGTCTTTTTGCAGAAATGTTCAAATGATTCCACGTCAGCCAGTCCCTTCTCTTCCTCTTCGTCCTCCTCAACAACATGGTGGAATCAGAGTCAAAACCAACTCTGCCCTTTGTTCATTTAGCTGTTATGTCAGCCTTGCCTTCAGACGCTTGCCATTTTACTCTAGCTTGCAATATCATAGCTTATAAAACTGAAATGCTACATGAGAAAGCAATCCCAAACCCAATTTTCAACCATGTGCCTCAGAGGCTCAGCTAATACCTAGTACATACACCCAGTGACAAGTAATGCTTCAGCATCAAAAGTAAACCAGTACATACATCTTATTTCCCAAGCTTTTCATGCTGCCCAGAATTTTCACTGCCTCTCTTAAAAGACTTCGCTAAAACTGTTCAGCCTCCTAAACTCACAGTATAAAAATCATTTTTTAAAACAGATATCAGATAACGATATTGGGTCTGCTTATTCCATTTATTTAAAATGTAAACAGGGACATTTCAAAATGTATTAATTCACTGCCTCAGAGCAGGCACAAGTACAGTAGCAACAGCAACATATTCCCCACGTTAGTTCCATCGAAGTGCTTCTGTATCAAACTATGGAGAACACTCTGACAGATGAACAGAGCACTAAATCTTCTTTATCTTTCGAAGAACAAAGGCGATTATCAGTCTGGCTCACAACTTCACTAGACAGTTAATGGATTAGGGAATGCTTATGCTGCTAAAAACTGCAGACATCACCTTAACTATAAACCGTTTCATGTCTTCCTTGTGTTAATTTTATTCAGCTTTAGCATGTACCTGGAGGATACATACTACTTGGTAGCAAAGCAGGTTTAAAAGGTCCTGCCCCTCATGACTTGCCCTGATGATATACAAGCACAAACACAAATCTCTGCAGATTTGTAAACTGGATCATCAAAATAATATAAACTTAAATGAAACAGGAAGTGTTTTCTTTTAACTGTGATCATTTTGGTGACCTTGCTTACAGGATGACCCCAAAAACAGACTTAGGAACATAAACAAAGGGTTGTTTGAAATACAAGGGAAGAAACTTTCAAAATGCCATGAAAGAGAAAATGATGATTTTACACTGAAGCTCCCAGAGGTTTCAGTACGGAGTCTGCATGCAATGCTGCCAAGCGTTATCAGCCTGCAAGACATTCCTGACTTGCAGACACTGAGCACCAGGTTATGCAATTTTTTTCTGGGACAGCAAAGGAAGCTCTGAGTGCTCCTGTACGCTGCATCTTTTGAACTGGGCCAGAATTATACAATTCAACTTTAAAATCACAGGGTAAAAGTTGAGCATGAGGTCCTGTGAAATCCTCTATGAAGTACAAAACAAACCGACAGAGGGTTAATAGAGAGCTCTGCTCTTATCTGATGACTTCCTGCAGGCTTGTTTGCATGGGTGGTGGTGGGGAAAGGCCTTTCTACACTGGGGAAAGGTCACTTCTACTTATAAATTGACTATTTGTATTAGTCTTCAGATCTACTCACCATATCAGATCAGTGAATCCTTTGTGCTGGTGCATGGTTGGAGAGGAGCTGTTTAACATGGAGAGGATGCACTCCAAATAAAGAAGCTGAAGTTGTCGATTGTCACTGGCAAAAAGAAAAGATGCCAGTCATGTCACACTGAAACAAAGATTATTTACTTATTTTCAAGTAACTACATTAGTTTGCTTGAAAACCATACCACAATTTACATCAGTGATTTATTTTGATACTTCCTATGGATTTACAGTGGTACGATTGCTTTTATCATCCCATTTAATTTGTACAGCTGATGTGCAGCATGAAAATTACCTACTTCTTGTAGGTAATGTAAGGAAAATAGATTTAATTCATCAAATTTCACAGTAAGGAATAAGAAATTGATGCAAAAGATGACAAGAAGGAAAATAGCAATTATTTTTCAAATTTAATCTGAAATCTTGAAGTTGAAGAAACTCTTAAAAAAAGAGGAAAAATGGATGACTAGAAGAAGTTGGAATTATCAACAATTTCTTCTAGCAATCTTAAGGGCATTTAGACTACTTTCTTCTGGTTATCTTTTTGTTTCCTTGATGAAAACCACAACAGTTGCAAATCAATGTCTATAGGCAAAAACTTACACGATCACACAGCCCCTTTTCAGAGCCTTGTCAGTTATACTCTATAAATCAAACACAAAATGAGCTTAAAGAGGAAGAATGTGAAAGATCCTGTAGTCACTCGGAATCAATGTGTTTGTAATGTACAATGTACTTGTAACTATTCTCTGAATTAGCTGCAGGATTCAGCAGACAAGAGAAGTTAAGGTCTGCCAAAAGAAGGTAGCTTCCACAGCACTCACATTCTGGTTTACATTTTGAAAACTAAATGTTTTTTGCTGTGCTTTTTTGGTCCAAAATGAGAACTGGATGAATGTATCTCATGATGTGTGAGGGCAGCTCTGAAAGTAATGCCTCCTATTTTATTACACTGGCCACGACATCAGAGGTGACCGTTGGTAGCACGGCAGCAGAGGTTTAAACTTCCCAGCAACATTCCATTCCTTTTTTTTGTTTTGTTTTTTTTGCTGTGTGACAGACGGTAGCAGTCTGGCAAAATGGCGTCAGAAGCAAAGGTTGGCATTGCATTTCTATGCATTAAAAAGAGCGTGGCCAGCAGGTCGAGGGAGGTGATCCTCCCCCTCTACTCTGCCCTGGTAAGGCCTCATCTGGAGTACTGTGTCCAGTTCTGGGCTCCCCAGTACAAAAAAGACAAGGATCTCTTGGAAAGAGTCCAGCGGAGGGCCACAAAGATGGTGAAGGGCCTGGAGCATCTCCCCTGTGAAGAAAGGCTGAGTGAACTGGGTCTGTTCAGCCTTGAGAAAAGACTGAGAGGGGACCTGATCCAGGTCTATAAATATCTAAGGTGTGGGGGGCAGAATGGCGAGGCCAGACTGTTTTCAGTGGTGAGTGGAGACAGGACAAGGGGAAACAGCCAGAAACTGCAGCATAGGAAGTTCTGCACAATTGTGCGCAAGAACTTCTTTACAGTGAGGGTGACAGAGCACTGGAACAGGCTGCCCAGGGAGGTGGTGGAGTCTCCTTCTCTGGAGATGTTCAAGACCTGCCTGGATGCCTACCTGTGCGACCTGCTGTAGGGAACCTGCTTTGGCAGAGGGGTTGGACTCGATGATCTCTGGAGGTCCCTTCCAACTCCTATGATTCTGTGACTCTGTGATTTCTCTGTGTGGCAAAAATGGCACACAGTGGCATTCACTAATGCTTGCTGAATGTTTATGGATAACAGTGGAGGTAGTGGGTGATGCATTTCAGCAGTGGCAACAGCAAGTTATAAGACAAACCACATTCCAGATGGCCATGCACTGCTGCCACACCACAAAATGAAGAGCACCTTAATCAGTTCATCCAAATGAACTGGCAGATTATGATCAGGGAACTATGTACGGAACTGAGTATCAGCTTTATTGTATCGGAAACGATTGGCAACATTGGAACATCAAAAAATCTGCACCAAGTGGGTCATACAAATGCTCAAACAGGAATAGAAGGAACACAATATGTGAGTTTGTCAGGACCTATTGAACCAATGTGAAATAGAAAGTGACAGCTTCCTGGATCACATCATTACTGGTGACGAGATGTGACGTTACTACTATGAGGCAGAGTCAAAAGGGCTGTCCATGGAGTGGCAGTGTAAATTCCCCATGGAAGATAAAATACAAGATGCAGCTTTCAGCAGGTAAAGGAGATGTGAACTGTCTTTTGGAAGACTTCTGTACTTCTCAAAACCTGGACAAACAATCAATTGACCATTATATCATGATGCTGACCAAGCTGATAAAGGCTTGAATTTCCAGAGTCAGGCCGGAAAAGAAGACAGCCTTTCTATTGTAACATGATAATGCCAGGCCTCATATCAGTTTGAAAACTGTGGACTGCCAATCCTAGCTGCACTGACCTGCCACACCCACCATATAGCCCAGATTTGGCACCCTCTGGCTTCCATCCACTCAAGTTGATGAAAGATGGACTGTGTGGGCAACATTTTCCTAGCAACAATGCCATCACAACAGCAGCGAAACAGAGAGTCACCTCTGCTGGTGCAGATTTTTAGAAGCACAGCACACATGCTCTTGTCCACCACTAGTAAAAATGCATAGCTAATGGCAGTGATCATGTTGAAAAATAGTTTTTTGTAGCTGAGAATTTTCTCTATCAAATAGTGTTATTGTGCTCTTTGTGCATCTGTTGCAGTTTCCATGGAAATAAATAGGAGGCATTACTTTCAGAGCAATCTATGCATGACAGTAAGTAAAGAAATCTGTGAAGAATGTATGCACTTTAAATGAAATTAAATTTTCTGTCACTGTCTGTCTCAGTGTATTTTGTTCACTTAGATATTACAAGTTCTACTACATTTCACCACGTGCACTGTAATTGTTCTCTTTACAATTATTGCTTTCATGACATTCAGCAAGCCAAAAAAAGAAAACTTGTCCCTTGACAAGCTCTTCACTACTGTATGGAAGTTATCTACAGATTAGATTTGTTGGAAGCTCTTTAAAGCTAAACAGCGCTAAACAGTGAAATCAGCTTCTCAACTCAAGTGAAAATTAAATTAATGCATTATGAACAATACTTCTTATCACAAACAATTTAATCACAGTTTTATTCCATAATCTCAGAACTATGACAATACAATCACATGTATCAGTGAAACTCCCAATCTCCAGGTAACAAGTTCAAATTATAAACTGAAATAACTCACTTTATGACAGCCTGGAGCTTCTCGCAGAGCACAGTGAGGACAGATACAACATCATCACAAAGAGACTCAGCTGAAGTACCTCCAAAAAGGACAAAGATCAGAGGCATTACATATTTGCAGGGAGATTGCAACCTCAAATCACTGCATGGACTTTCAGAGTTGGTCAAAGCATATAAACAATAGGCATGGCAGCCAAAATTCAGACAGGACGCAGAAGAAAAAGTCCTAGATTGGAAACTGATCTCCATACAATGACAAAGCAGCAGTATTAAATCCAGAGAGAGCACTGATGCTTACGCACATTTAGAAAAGGTTAGCTGAAATTCAATTCAGGTAATAGAATAAGCAAATAATGACTATAAAAAAGGGACTAGCTCCAGTACTTCTCTGGGGAGCTAAACATCTCTGCAGCATTCCATACAGCTTCTCTCTCATCCACAGAGATCTTAAAAGGGGATCGTTTTTCGCTTTCAATATTTTAGCCTTCATCCACACAAGTTGTCCTACAGAAATCCAGTGAGAAAATTCAAAAGCAGGGAATATTTTGAACTCTCAGGGAAGACAGTGGATGATAAGCCAGAACGAGAGCAGAAAAACTCTCTTGTAAGGTTATAATTTGGCAAGTATAACTTCCCTAGTAACGTGCTTTCAAAAGCTGCCATAATACAAATGCCATCCCTGGCCCAAAATACAGTAAACACAGCCATTTCCAGATTCTACCATCTTGCTCTATGAGTCCGCTTCAATTTGGGAATCCACTTATTAACTCTTTCTCCAGAGCTCTGAAACACCTTAATTAAAGAAGTTAGCACTGTGAAACAACCATTTATAACTATGTGGAGAGCAATGCTGTTAACATGGCTCAAATGAAGGCACTACTGGCAATATCAGGAGCTAACAGGGCTGTTTCAGTTCTTACCACAAGTAACACAAACAGTAACATGCTATGAAGAAGGTAAAAGATCCTGAAGACGGAATTTCTGTGATTTCAACAGCTGTGTGCTGATGAATGGAAAGTGAAGAATTAATAAGTTGGATTGGAAGGAGTCACTAAAAAAGCTGTACAGATACCTTGACTTTTGAATTTCTGCAGGGTCTCATTATTTTCAATTGTCTGTTGAGAAAAGATAGATGTGCTATAATCAGTGCATGTAGCAGAAAAGTCAACGTACAAGCAATGCTTTAACAGCAGAGCTTTCTTAACAAATCCATGTCCTCTATCTTTATTTTTTTGTTGTTGTTGTTTAAGTGAAGCTTAATACCTTACGAAATGTTTAAACAATCACTTAGATCTAAGAAATTCATATCTCATTTAGCTGAACTGGGATTTGTAAACTCTTAAGGGATTTCCTACATCTACAAAAACACAGTAATAACTAGGCATGTAGGTCTCAATAAAAATAACTGAGAAAAAAAGCACAGTTTAGACTTCACAAGATACTTAGAAACCCAAATCCTCTGAGTATGGGAGAGTTTATCACACCATCATCATTAATATTGCAGTGCCAATACACAAATTAATGACAGTCGGGAATTGGAAATGACCTCTTACATCATTAGGCTCAGCTGTGGTATAGGATTCCTTCTATCAATGCAGTTCTCACATACCTTCACCTACGCTGCATTTAGAGCAGAACTAACAAAATTCAAATTTCAAATCCAAACTCAACTTCTAAAACAACAATCTTCCTTCTTCCTCTCCCCCCCCAAGTATTATGGCTAGTAAAATGAACATACTTAGCACACAGAGAAAATAACTTTAAGTAAACCTATGAATTCAGTTCTGCAGGTACTTATTAGGATAAAAATAATCTAGTCCAGCATTCCAAAACAGAAGTGGTCACCTTAACCCAAAACAGGTACAGGGAAAATAATCTGACCTTTACAATTAGTACCTGTTTCTTTATATACAAATATGCATAAACAGATCTAAGAAGCCAATGACATTTCAGATATGCCCAGAACATTTACAGTTTTGTGGACAATGTGTTGGGATTTCACTTAAGCAGCTCCCATGGATTTTAATAATGCAATAAACAGAAGTAATATTTTTGCTAACAACTGAGCAGACGAAAGATTCCATTAAATTACCTTCATTAAAAAGAGTAGCAATAAAAAACTCAATTACACTTTCAACAGCTGAGAATTTGTTCGGTTGATGTAAATATCTGTAACGTAGGATATTTTGGTGAAAGGATTTCCACAAATCTCAGGTAAACAAGCAAATAAAATAAAAGATAGAAAAGGAAAAGGTCAAAGTAGTCTGACATCAGAACAAAGCCTCTTTTGTTTAACAGAATGAGAACAAAATACGGCCAAATAGAGCCGCCAATGTGAGAGTTGCCTTCCTGATAGACTGCTCTAAGACAGGCACAAAGTCAGAGCCCAACAGAGCTTCCAAATGGGATTAGTTGTGGAAGGCTGAAATAAAATCCATAAGGCACAATAAACCAGTACAGTGCACTGCATTCAGAGAAACTAAACGGTATGCAGCTACGGAATGGAACCATTTGTTGATGCCAGAAGGCTCACCATATTTTCTTGCTTTTGTCGTAACTGTAAAGTCAAGTCACTCAACATTTGGCTGAGGGTTGCCCGCACAGCGGTGTTAATGCTCCGCTGGTGACAGCTAGATACATATGTCTCAATGCAAACCTGATGAGAAACAAGATAGCAATACGTAGATATTAACTGTAACTTACCAGTAACACACTTCAAGAGGATACCAAGGTCTCTTGCATGCAGATAGTCAGCCTGCCTTGTTATTCCATATTGCTTTATTAGCACATGAAAAGCTTTCAGCAATATGGGTAACTCAGTAAACAGCACCAAGTAAAATGCAGCTCATTAGTTAATAAGTCTCACAGCTGCAGGAATGGTAAGGCAAAATTGGCAAAAATCTTCCCCTTCTGTCAAGCCCAACTGAGTTTGGCACTTGCTTTGCGCTTAAACAAAAATATATCTTCAAATGTTAGTTTGATTGATCTTTTCTAGAGACTTATTCACAACTATCACTTGGCAAGTCTGTATTCTGTATGACATAAATACACTCCAATCCTTTAAAGTTGTTGTTTTAGTAATAAGTATTCGCCCATCTTTTTTCTGTAATTAGCGTAAGGGCAAATAGTGCCTCATGAGCGTAGTAGCCTTCTATGACACAGTGACTATATCAGTTTACAAGAGAAGATCAACTGATGTTACCCACCTGGACTACTGTAAGGTCTCTGATACAGTCCCAAAAGACACCCTTATCTCTAAATCGGAGAAACATGGATGCAAAGGGTAGACTATTCAGGGGCTAAAGAATTGGCTGGACAGTCACAGCTGGAGGATTGCAGTCCTTAGCTCTGTTCTTAAATGGAGCCTGGCCATGAATGGTGCCCCCCCCAGGGGTTCATCTTCAGGCCAGTGTTCTTCAACATCTTAATCAGTGACACAGACATTGAGTGTACCCTCAACAAGTTTGCAGATGACACCAAGCTGAGTGGTGCAGTCAATATGACAGAAGGAATGGATGCCATCTAAAGGGATTTCAACAGGCTTGAAAAGTGTGCCCACGTGAACCTAACAAGGTTCAACAAGGCTAAGTACAATGAGCTGCACCTCATCCAGAGCAATCCCTGTCCTGAGTAAAGACTGAGAGAAGAACCTGTTTGCCCTGCTGAGGAGGACTTGGGGATTCTGGTAAAAGAAAAACTTGATGAGGGCCAGCTGCGCACATTTGCAGCCCAGAAGGCCAACTATTCTGGCCTTCATCAGAAGAGGAATGGAAAGCAGGGACAGGGAGGTGATTGTCCCCATCTGCTCTGCCCTCATGAGGCCCTACCTGGAGTATTGTGTCCAGGTCTGAGGCCCCCAGCACAAGAAAGATACAGAGCCATTAGTGTTGGTCAAGAGAAGGGCCACAAAGATGATCAGAGGTCTGGAGCACCTCTCTTATAAAGAAAGGTTGAGACAGATAGTCTTGTTCAACCTGGAGAAGAGAAGGTCCTGGGGAAACCTTCCAGTACTTAACTGGAGCTTATAAACAGAGAGAAACTGACTTTTCTCACAGTCTTACAGAGATAAGACTAGGGGGAGTGGTTTTAAACTAAGAGAGGGATATTAGATATTAGGAGGACATTCTTTACTCAGAATGGTCGTGAAGCACTGGAACAGGCTGCCAGAGAAGCTGTGGATGCTCCATCCCTAGAGGTGTTCAAGCCAGCTTGAATGGGGCCCTGAGCAGCCTGATCAAGTGGGTTGCAACTAGATGATATATAAGGTAACTTCCAACAGATACCATCCTATGATTCCATTATACTGAAGCATATATGTATACACATATGCAGTTATTATTCAATATGGCACATACATCTACATCTGAAAGCCTCTAAATGGCTTTTCTTACTACAGAAGATACTATTGTGATACACCATAAATTACATAAATATTTGCCTTTTAAATACTGGCAATCAGCCTAAAGTTTCCTTAGCTGGGAGAACCCCAGTGAGAAGCCTACAATGAAAGAACATCAGTGTATCATCTAGTTCCCAGCTCCATGCTCAGCTGTTTGCAGTTTTTTGACACTGCATTGTGACCAAAATTCTGTTGGACTCTTGCCTCAAGATGTTACACAAATAGCTACCAAAGCATAATACAGCTGGGATCCAGGGGATAGGACATTACAAATGGCAGTCTCTCAGTTCTTATTGCTCTTTCTCAAGATTCCAATCCCCTCCCAAAACAAAGGATTTTATTGACCTTGAGAGCAATTGGCATGTGAAGGTGATTTTGTAAGTTAAAAGAAAGGATCAACTATTCCCATCATTCAGTTACCACCCTCCAGAGAACAAAGAATCCTAAAGCCTATTTACCACAAAGAGTCAGAGAGGCCGTACCATTCCAAATGCTGCTGAGCTGCTGGACACGGAGGAACAATTGTTCTCGATCTCTCTTTCTAGAGTTCCTGAATTAATTGATAGAATGCCATTCTCAGAGATAGGCTGACTTTCTGGTAAGAGCATGGTTGATATCATCTTTTTCTTCCCCCCTCCCCATGCCTGTGAAAGAGTGACAGCACTGTCCACGTGAGCTCTGATCTTATAGAAGGTGTGCATTCTAAAATGGCTGGGCAAGGTACCTTTTGAAAAGCCACTGATGAAGGATTGCCAGTAAAAATTCGAGAGCTCAGGGCCCCAAGGAGGTATGCAATGGACATTTTGATCATTTCATGCATTCGGGGACTTCCAGCTCTATTGCATGCAAAGCACAACTAAGAGCAAAACACAGAAGGGTTAGCTAATGAAACAACAGAACCAAACAAACTTTCAAAATGTAGATGGAAGTAACAAATACACACATGACAAACAACGGTTAGAACATAAGTTACACTTTCTTGTAGTGGTCCAGGCAAGCATGAGAAGTTTCACATAGCAAGATTTAATCTGTTTTCATTACTAGTAATACTTAAACCATATAATGTAGTACTCTTCTTGTTGGATGCTTCATTCATTTTAGGCTGAAAATATTCAGTAAGATTCATGGCGCTATTGATTTGTACATATTAACTGAGAATGACTAGACAATGCAAAACAACCAGGTGGTAGCCCTGTTTGTCACAGTGAATCCCCAGATTGAGGTCCACCAGTAACACAGGCAGCATCTTTCCAATCCTGCAGTAGCTCCTGCTTTGCTACAGAGGGCAGGCTAGGAAAAGTAAGGGACCTGGAAAAGAAATGCCAAATAACAGGGATAGTGAAGTGCATAGCTCCCCTCTGCCATCTTTATATTAGAGCAAGTCAGAACAATAAATGCTGGGGCTAAGAAAATGCTGAACTCAGAAATCATTATCTGTTTCCTACCGCCTATACACTGTAGAATTCAGGTAGAAAGGAATACTGAGTCCAACTGATAAAGTCTTTCCCTTACCTAAAACCTGGCTGAACAGAACCTGAGGAAGCATGTATTGCTTGAAGGGATTTGCTAAATAGAAAGAGGTAAGCATTCAGTGAAACAATATTTTCTCAGGGATTGTGGAGAAAATACCTGTACCTCCAAACATACCAAAAATCAGAAGGGTTTAAAGAGCCATTAAATGCTTTTCCCAGCATGTATTTTGTCTAAGTCAGATTTCTTTGCTTGCAGCAGAGATGGACTAAACTGAATTAATCATCTCATGCCCTACATGTTGGAAAGTTTGCTGCGAAAAACTGCAGCAAGGAAACAATCTGTTTTCTTCTGTTTGGGATGTTAACTTAGGAAGGGTTTAGTAAAACTTAAAACAGTTTGAATGGCTCTAAATACCAGTCCAGCTCAATCTTGCTGCAACCTTGACAGGTGGGCTTACAAAGACTTCCAAAAACAGCCACACTTCATGGAAATGGAAATCTCACATAGCAAAAAGAAACCAAGGGATGAGTTGGGCAGAACATCTGTTTAAACAAAAAAAAACTCCCCTCACAAATGGTAAAAACTGAGAAGGAATTCATCTCTGAGGCTTTACATGCACAAATTTCACTGGGAGTCTAGCAAGGAACATTTAAAGAACCCTCTTGTTGTGGTCGGGTCTGAAATATGGCAATATTAAGAACTAATAAGTCTTTATTTTCAAAAAGAACAGTTAGCATACACATTGGGAGGAAATAGATGGTATGTAAAAACTGCAAGGACATGTACGTCATCCTTACATTGCTTCATGGGCATTTCATGGGCTTCATTTAGCTCTCCCCTACATTAACAATATAGTTTCAGAAAACATTCTGTACATAACCATGTGTGCTGTGCAGGAGAATGAAGTATTTCTGTGTCTCTTCTCTAACTTGAGTCTACAGTCCAGTGGTTTGCTACACAATTCATACAGAAATGCTCGCTTAGTAGAACTGCACACATATGGTTTTCTACAGCCAAAGCTCCTCTACAACTTAAGACTTTCAGACTAAAATCTGATTGGAAAAAAGGGGAGACACACCTAGTAGCACCTAGATAACACCACGTATCCAGAGGCATAATAAAATCTTTACTTGGACGTATTAGGAAAAATAAACACAAAACTAGAGGGCATATTGTGGCACGTCTGCTGGTGAGGCATGTTGTAGTCCACACATCACCCTTTATTGAAACTCAGTAGTATTAGGGTTGCACCAGAATTAGCACAATACTGTATTATTAAGAACACAAGGATGTTTTCCTATTGCAAAATACAAAACAAAATAAACACGAGGACTTGTATGCTATAGCATTGCAAGTCCACTATCATCAGTCAATTTCAAAAAGTACGCCTTCTCATGCAAGCCCACCAGTTCTGTACAATTTGTAGTTGTATTTTCATACTAGACATAGTAGTATGAGCCCTTAAGATGGCAGCTGCGATTTGGACTACTTCAGATGCAGGCAGGATACACATAGAAGACACAGTCTAGCTGGAGGGGAAACATTAAATGGCTCCAACAGTGGTACAACTGAGGCACTTACCTCAGCAATCTTCAACACTGAGCTCCCATTCAGCTCAAATGTGGAGGTATATGTTATACAGAGCAAGACCTTGAATCAAAAGAGAGGGAAGAAAGAAAGAAAATTTAAATTTCATTTGTTATTGCTTCTCTTCCCCATTCATGCATTTTCAGCTACCTCTCTTTTCGTTTTTAGAGTAGATATCAGAAGCTTTTCAGCACCAAGCTACTGGAATAAAGGGGTTGGCAATATCAAGGAACTTAGTTGCTTCCTCCTGAAAAGTTGCAACAGTTGGCACCAGAGGCGTAGCCCAATGGACTACTTATCAGTCTCGCACATCTGGCCAAGGAATCTGTGATCAGTCTCAGCCTTGAAAACCAGTTGATAGCCAAAATCTATTTATACTTCACCCACAAGCTTTCCATGATTTATAATCAGTCCATTCATTTATTACCGCTAGTGTGACAAACGAGGGAGGAAAAATGTATGAAATACAAATTATTATCAGATGACACAGACGCATGTATTATGTGAAACAAGCCATTAATTGCCGCTTGGCACAGAAAGGACTTCCAAGCCTTAGGGTACTTCCAGTAAGTATACTGTAGTCACTTGATAATGCACAGTAAAAAGTAATTCTCAGACTCCAGTTCACAAGGGATTAGGAATGAAGGTAGTGTTGTACGATGTTTTCACCATCTGGCAATGTCCCTCCTTCCACCTTACTCTCTCCCTCATCTCCCTTTCCAATCCCTCCAGCACTACGGAAGACTGATAGAGTCTGATCTACTGTACTCTTTCTTCACTGTGTTGCCCTTTCCACAGTAAGTTGGAACAACAGAAAATTACTGTAACAGTTTGAAGGAGCAAGCTGGATCACCTCTCATTTGCAAGTCGCATCACCTCTGTAGATCATGATGATCTCTACAACCACCTCAAAGTCTTCAAAAAGAACAAAGGAACCACAGACAACTCTAGTACTGCTTAAGCAAGCTGAAGCCCCTGAACCTTCCTCAATACTACTTAATCTCTGGGAGAGTTCTCCTCCGTGCTGTTATTTTGCACCATAGGAGAAAAATCCATTACTAGGAAACAAGCATTTAATAATTTTAGGGCAATTTGAACACTAAATACAAAAGAAGCTCTGAGCATTATCTGTTTGCTCTTACATGTACAGACAAAGTGCCTGCCCATAAGCGAGTGCATCATTTTTCGGTAGAACATAAATAACCTCCTTCACATTTTGACAGTCAGTGTGAAAAGCTTCTACCCACTGAAATACATGGTATCTTTAGGTTTTTGGTTTTTTTTTTTTATTATTATTCTTTACTTTTTTCAGCAGAAGAATTGTATTTCACTACAGGTTATCACACCTTATCCACAATTTATTTGATTGCATTTTTATAATAAAAAGAAAATACTGGCCAGGGCCTTGTTCCTATTCCTAGGAAAGATGATTATACAACCAGAAGTGTTCCAAAAACAACATTATGTAACAGCAGCTTTATATAGTTTATATATGATATCTAGCCCTGATTCACACTCAGTTCTTTGTAAGTAGATGCTGACAGATTTGGACAAACACTAGAGGTAATGAGAAATGAAAAGGACATGCTACTCTTGTGTAGTACAACGTTTGTGTCCTATCATCTTTTTTTTTTTTTTTTTTTACACATTTAGCTTTAGAGATAAACATTTTCTAAGCCAACTTTCTTCACAGTTTTCAAAATCACAGAAACATACAAAGTTATCTGCCAGACTCTGCATATTCTTGGCTTACTTAACTTGTTCCCATCCTCCCCTACAAATTGTTTCTAAGATCTGGAAGACAGTTTCTGACCATGCACAAGACTGTCTTCAGCTATGATTGCTGTCAGCACTGCTGCAGAGCTCATTTACAGTCTCGGCAATGTTCCAGGCACTTAACTCATGTTTTCCCATTTCAATGGAACAGGATGACAGCAGTTTTTTCTGAGATTATTGGATGAAAGATGGGATTAAACAAACAAACAACCCTTAATCATTCAGATGCACTACAGACACTGATTCTCCAGGCAATATATCCCTGTGGTGGGTTAACCTTGGCTGGCACCCAGGTGCCTACCATGCTGCTCTCATTCCCCCTCCTCATTACAATGGAGAGAATAGTGATGAAAAACTCACAGCCATGATAAAGACAGGGAGTTTGCTCACCAATTACTGTCAAGTAATTTAATTGACTGCAAATTAGTAACAGAGTAGGATACTGAAAAAAAAAAAAAAAAAAAAAAAATTCAAACTACCTTCCCTCCTTTCCCCCCTGCTCTTCTTCCCAGACTCAACTCCCCCAAGCAGTTCAGGGGAACAAAGAATGGAGACTGCAGTCAGTCCATAATGCTTTATCTCTACAGCTCCTTCATGGTCATCCTCTGCTTAAAGTGGGGTCCTTCCCATAGGATGCTGTCCTTCTTGAACCAATCCTGTGTGGGCTTCCCACAGGCTGCAGCTTTCCATGCATTGCTCCAACACAGCTCCGTATTATGGGGACCACCCTTCAGGCACTGTTCCAGCATGAACCCCCAAGGGCAGAGCTCCCTCAGCCTTTCCCCACCACAGGCTCCGTTCCATGAGCTGCAGCTCAGGCTCAGGCTGTGGGGCTCTCCTTGGGCTGTATGCCCTTCAGGACACATACACTGTTGCACCGCAGACTCCTTCATGTCTGCATGGGGAGATCTCTACACAGTGCCTGTGGGCTGCAGAGGGACAACCTACTTCTCCATGGGCCTTTCCTGGGCTGCAAGGAGCTTCTGCTCCACTCCTGGAGCACCTTCTACCCTCCTTCTGTGCTGACCTTGGGGGCTGTAGGGCTGTTTCCTCACATCTTCTCATTTCTCCCTTTCACAGTTGCAACATTTTTTGCCCTCTCTATAAATATGTTATCAATGAGGCACAACCAGCATCACTCACTAGCCCAGCTCAGGGCAGCAGCTGGCTTGTTTTGGAACTGGCTCCTATGTGACATGGGGCAGCTGCTGGGTCCTTCACACAGAGGCCACCACTGCATTACCGTACTACCAATGCAAATCCAATGCAATCCCAGAGGCTGCTTAACTGCTCACAATACTAATTCAAGCAGTCTATATTAAAAAAGTTAAGAAAAGAGACTTTCTTATGCAGTGACATTTTGTTTTCACAACCACTTGTACTGGAGGTGAAAAAACATTTATATTACAAAGCATTTCCTAGTACCACTTTTACTACAAAAAGTTGGAAAATCAGCTTCTGCTTTGCATCACTGTGGTGAAATCTTAATTGGTATGGACTTTAAAACAACCTTTTGTTTTTAGAGGAGCTCAGATAACTGTAGAGATAGTTTCAAAAAAATCACACAACCTCTAGGATGTTATAACTGGCTTGTATTATCTTGCAAATGCCTGGATGAGATCAGATTTCCGTAAATGGCCTACCCATAATGAAAACATTAATTTTAATTACTGTTGAAGCTCTGCCTGTCATAGAGCAAGAAATACGATTCCCACTCCTTGGAGTCCCAGGATACCAATTGTAGTACAAGATTGCACACACAGGCAGTTTTCACAATAGGTAAGAATGAAAAAAAAAGTGCTTCTACACTGAAAGTTAGTGGACACAAAATGACTTACAGTATTCAAAGGGAGGTGGAATTTAACTTACATTACAGTGTCTATTTTAAGGAGATCTCTTACAGAGGGAACATTTAGGTTATGAGAGTGCTAAGTGCTGCCAGCCAAGTTCTCCAAGTGCTTACTACATATTTGTAGTGAAAGGCAATTGTAACACTGAAGAGCGTATGGTGGAATCATGAACTCAACAAGGTGTGGAAGCAAGCAAGCAGTGCCCCCAGGACAGTGAAGGAGGGCAAAGGTACAAATCTTAAAAATAATTGTAATCTACGATGACAAAAGGATGCTTCATCAATTCACTGCATTTAAGCGTGCAAGTCCAACATCAAAACACCAGTGACACCATTTTACTCTTCCAGCGAAGTCCCATTTTAACATCTGCGTTTCTTATATCTGGGATGCATGCAGTCACTTTAGACCTGAGAGAGTTGAATCTTGCAGCCATTTCTAATCTTCTTATGGGACTCATAAAATAAGTCTTTCCTGACTTAATTTACATGTAGTCTAGTAAAATATTACGCATTATATACTTGAATGATTCCCAAAACTTCCTCCCCTAGAAGAGTAAAAACAATCAGAAAACAAAGTAGGACTACTCATCTTGCTTAATAATTTGACATTTAAAACAGTCATACAGTATTTCTGCAAAATAGAACAGCAGATGTCTTTGTATTCGGCACAATAGCTACTAACCTGGCCAGGTTACATTCTTTGGCTCTGGAAGGAAAACAAGGGCTGAAGAAATAAAGTGCATTAATGAACTTATGCACACAGTGCCATCATGTACCACCATACAAAGCACAGTGAGTTTTTAATTATGAAGAGAAAGGAGGCAGTGTCTCCCATGAATTAGTAAGCCCATGAAAGGCCTTGCTATCACCAGCAACTGGTGCTCAGCATTCGGCATGCACCAGGGCTTCAAATGAAAGGGTAGTATCTGCTATGGAAGAGCCTCACAAATTATCAGTGGTGACACGCTGAATGCTCCCAGATGACCGTGCTCATTAGTTTGCTAGACAAGAACAGAACTACTGCTGAGCACTATTTATGGTGGTGTGAAACCAACTGAAACTTCTGCATACGTAGTACAGTTGTAGGAAGAAGTGATTTAAAGCAATTGCTTAACGGATATTTAACTGGCTTTCTTAATAGCTCTGACAGCGACTTTGTCATTAGAAATGCAATACTCAAGAGAAAGGAAGGTTTTTGAAGAAAATGAAAAGGTTGAGCAGCATTGCTAGGCTTGCATTTTGTACTTCACAGGTTACAATGTATTTAGGTACACTGCAGTACTTTATGAACCCGTAGACAGTTCCAGTGAGAAAAAAAAAAAATAAAAAATTGAAAGATGTCAAAGTTCTTATGCTCCTTTTCTCATGAAAAATGACATTTTAAAGAGAGATTCAGGCACTTCAGTCATGAAATAAGTGCTTTTTGGTCTGCTTGCTC